ACACGGTTTCAGGGCATTTCCTGGAGTGCTGTGAGGAAATGGCAATTAACAACACTGAAGGAAGGACAGGTGATGATGCGGGACAGGTGGGAGGCGCAGCAGTAATTACAGACACCCTCTCAGGCCCGTCGGTTCATGGCTTCAGCTTCGTAACACCTCCGGGCAGCTTTTTTTCAAGGGGTCAGGTTCAGGTTAGCCCCCTGCTGGTAGATGCCATAAGTACACCATCTGGAGGCCAGTAAGAACTGGAGATCTAGGAAAAAAATGACTAAACAATCAAAAGTTTGGAATAATTAAGATTTTGTAATGTCTTTAACAGTACACTCACAAAGGCTCCATTTATTTGATCAAAAATATAGTCAAAGCAGCATATTTTCATATTATTCAAATTGTATATAAAAATGAAATTTATTCCTGTGATGCATTACTCCAGTCGTTAGTGTCGCATAATCCTTCAGAAATCATTGTAATATGCTGATTTGCTGCTCAAGAAACATTTTTTCATTAATAATATATGGTTGTGCTGCTTAATATTTTGTGAAAACTGTGATACAATATCATTCAAATGTTTGGGGTCAGTTATTTTTTAATAATGTCACAGTATAGTCAAATAAATGCTGTTCTTTTGAACTTCCTATTCAGCGAAGAGTCCTGAAGAAATTTCCACCAAAATATTAACTGTTGATTTCAATAAGAACCATAATAATTGAACACCAAATAAGCATATTTTCTGGGTCGCTGTTCCTCGTGAAGTCGTTTATCACAGTATGATTTCAACAGGTTATCTTTCACCTTTCAGCGTATGGGTATGTTTAACATTCTCAAATAGCATTTTCTATGCTGCATTAAGTCATATTAAGTACAATTTTTATTCCAATGGAAACAATCCCTTGCCCTTTCCCAATCACTGCCTTTATGAGGAAGCCCTGGCTATCATTATTCTGCGGTAATTGCCATCCCAGGGAAAACAAACCTGCTTAAATATCTGTGTCTCTCTGTGGTTTTATGTAATTATTGCACTCGTTTCAGTTCCTCTATAGCCCCGGGATGTGCTCACTGTGCTTGTTGTTGATCACGTTCCTCTTGTAATACATTCTGAATATAGAGTCTACTTCACGGTTAAGGGTGGAAAATTAAGATATACAGTGTTAAATAACAGCTTATGGATTTTCCCATTTGTTTAACATAACTTCAAAATTGCTTAAAGACTAAGAAATAATGAAAGCAAACATGATGCTTGTGGCTGCTTACATGTCCTAAGTCATTTCTTTGAAATCCATGGGATTTTTGTTTTCCATTTGCCAGGCAGTTTTTTTGTGTGTGTTTTATATTTTGAGTTTCTGATTATTAAATCTCCATTGTATTAACTCAGTTTTTCAATTTCAATGAACTTATAGTTTTAAAGCAATCAGGTTACTTCATTTTTTAAAGGGATAGTTCACTCTGAAATAAATTTTTGGTATGTTTTAGCTTACCTCAAGGGCACCCAAGATGTAGGTGTCTTTGTTTCCGCTGCAGTTTCAATTTTGATATTTTTAGGTCAAACCGTTCTTGTCTGTCAGTCATATAATGGAGGTCTATGGTCACCACCTCAAAGAGCATCCACAGAGAAGTCCAAATTAAACATGATTTAATGACTCGTAAATGTAAGTACACGTTGATGGCCTAAGACACGAAACGAGCGGTTTGTGTGAGAAAACGAACAGTATTTATATCGTTTTTACCTCTTGTTATCATCTCTCGCGCGTTTACGTCACTCATTGTTTACACCGAGATTTCAGAAGTGTTACTCCTCACTGTGAAGATCTAATCATATTCAGATGTGCAGGAAATAGCAATGGAAGACGATTTCGATATATCAACAGACAACTTTGATTTTTTTTTTTTTTACGCAACCGCGCGAGATCACTGCCGGCGCTATTGATTTCAAAGTGAACTATCCTTTTATGTTAAACCAACAATATTTTTTTACAGTGTAAGAATGAGCTATAAGAATAACATGTTCCTGGAACAACATTTCAATCAACCAATCAGATTTGAGGGATAACTTTACAGTTTATGTCAAGTTTAGGCTTAAAACCAGAATTAGGTGCTTCAACAACAGTGTTATTAACCTATAATTTTCCTGTGATTTTAGGGACAGGTTATACTGTAGGTAGGGATATGGTTTGGGACCAAATATTTGGACATGAGTTTGTCTAACTCTGCAAAATCAGGATGTGCGTTCAAGTATGAGCAATAGTGGTGTTTCTTCAAGAATCTATGATAAATGAAGTTTAACCTAAAAAGTACTGTCACTGTACTGTACTGTAAGTAATCACTTACTCAGCTATTCATAATCATATTCATGATTATTCATTCACTCTAAATTGTAATGTAGACATGCATTTTCGGTAAAGCTGCTTTGAAACAATATATATTGTGAATTGAATTGAATCATAGCATTCATAAATAGCTATTCATAATCACGTTAAAGTTTAGAGGGGTAATTAATCCAAAAATGACAATTCTGGCATTATTTCCTCACCATCATATTGTTTTATATGTGCATGACTTTATTTTTTTAGCTGCTTTCCATATAATGAAAGTGAACGTACACCACTGCTGTTAGATACAGTAGTTAAGCTAGATTCTTTTATGTTCTACTATTTCTTTTTAAGCAGGATTTACAGCTTGCGTGATTTTTTTTGAAGTGCTTTGTGGTGTGATGGTCTTGAAATCGTATCTGCCGCAGCCTCGTGTCCTGTCAGTTTATCAGATCATAACTGCAGGGATTAAAGCAAAGCTATTCCATAAACACACCTTTTCCCACTGCTGAAATCCATCTTCACTACGCAGGACAAGAAGCTGCATTCAAAGCACGAGAGAGAGAGATTCAATCCGTGACTTTACTAATGCGGCAGGTAGAGTTCTCCGGAATCTTCTCAGGTTGTTAAACCCACAATAATCCAATATTTACAATCCCCGAGTGAGGGGTATTTTTTCAGCATGGATCTATAAACCCATTACTAACTGTCCTGCAATGCTATTTATAAACCAGACAAATGCTTTCTTCCACTCTTCAGTCTATTCTGGCTTTGAATTTCTACTTGGCTCTTACTTTTGTCTCTGCACACTGTTATTCAGTCTTGACCTTCGACGAAAGGTCATTAGGAAGTGTTTATGTGCTCCACTTTATGATTTATTTATTGATTTATTAAATGTTCAAAAATAAAAATCTGATGTATTTCTTCAAAATCAAATCCAAAATGTATACAAATATTTTGGATTTGATATAAATATTTTTTATAAATATTTGTATTAATTTTTTTTTAAATAAAATTATATTTAAATTAATTTTATTAAAATATTTTATTGATTAATTCACCCAATTAATCCAATCTGTTTGTTTGTAATATAATAATCATTATTAATCCTTATTATGATTGCCTTATGCAACACTAAATATAAAACTATATTATTCAATAATACTAATTATTTATTTTTAAGCGCTTAACTCATCCTGCAACATTTAACTTAAACTTTTAAGCATGTAACCACTTATTATTAGTCTCAGAAAAAATGGTACAAAAGTTGTAACTGGGACAAAAGGCACTAATATGAATTATTTGGATATTAATATGCACTCATATGTGGTAAATAATGTACAAAGTTGTACCTTTTGACAGGGTACCGCCCCGGTGACAGCTTTTGTACCTTTTTATTCTGAGAGTGGACAGCCTAGCAATCACCCTGAGCGCTCCAGCATCATCTTCACCATTAAAAGAACTACATTCAACAGATTTATTGATCTTTTCTAACCCTGGAGCTTTTTTTTTCCGGTACAGCCTGCGTAGATGCTAATCATGGGTAGTTAAGTCATCCAATGGCTGTATCTCTTGTCTCCACTGAGAAAATTGTGTTGTTAATGTGACGTCCCTATCAGCGCTTTTTTAACAATGGATTTGTCAGTGATTGATGGTTTAATACCCTCCGAGGTTCCTCTGCTCTCTTTCCTGATGGAGTGTCCGGAAAGAGAGTGTTGCAACCCGTGGATTTGACTGAAATGTATTTATTTGGGATTTATTGCTTGCGTATCTGTGATTGGCTTGGAAATTACACTTTTTGTTCCCTAGTCAAACAGGAAATACACTATGATCAATTTTTCGTTGCTCTGAAGGATGTATGACATTCTGCTTTTGCTCTGTTGGTGTTGTGTCAAGATGAATCCTTTATTGAAACCGCTCTGTAGAATTAGTTTGCTCACACACTTGTGCTTCGGGGCGTTTTTAAATGTAGTTCCTGTGTTGAACTGTATAGGAGTGAAATGATTTGTGTGATGTTGGTCGTTGTCTCCGTTCCTGTAGGGCTACAAAGGATTTAGACGTTTTGTGTTTCCCGCTCACGTCCTACATGATTAAACTTACTTGGATGTTTTTGTCGGTATAGCTGCATCATTTCATTCTACTTAAAGGGATAGTTCACTTTGAAATTCATTTTTGGTATGTTTTAGCTTACCTCAAGGGCATCCAGATGTTGGTGTCTTTGTTTCTGCATTAGTTTCAATTTGGATATTTATAGGTCAAATCGTTCTTGTCTGTCAGTCATATAATGGAGGTCTATGGTCACCACCTCAAAGAGCATGCACAGAGAAGTCCAAATTAAACATGATTTGATGCCTCGTAAATGTAAGTACACATTGATGGCCTAAGACGCGAAACGAGCGGTTTGTGTGAGAAAACAAACAGTATATATATCGTTTTTACCTCTTGTAACCACAGCCACAAAGTGCCCGTGCCTTCAGATTCTTGGACGATATAAATACTGTTCGTTTTCTCACACAAACCGCTTGTTTCGTGTCTTAGGCCATCAATGTGTACTTACGTTTACGAGTCATTAAATCGTGTTTGATTTGGACTTCTCTGTGCATGCTCTTTGAGGTGGTGACCATAGACCTCCATTATATGACTGATAGACACGAACGGTTTGACCTAAAAATATAAAAATTGAAACTACTGCGGAAACAAAGACACCTACATCTTGGATGCCCTTGAGTAACTAAAACATACCAAAAATGTATTTCAAAGAGAACTATCCCTTTAGGGCTTTTTGTTCCGCTAAAACAAACCTAATTGTGCTTAGGTCCAATTATTGATGATCTTATCTGCCCTGACTCCTTCAGCCATCCTTGGTTTCGGCTGACGGGGCAGTCCTTGCTCTGTCCTAGCCTCTCTGAACAGCCCGTCCTCTCGTTCCTCGATCAGATCGGCTGCTTTTAAAGCCTTCTGATGGGCTACTTCTATGGCGATAAACCACCTTGCCTCGGGGGCCAGATGGTATCGGGGAGGCATAAAAGAGAGACGTGAGACCGTTGTTTCTTGAGAGACTTGTTCTTCAGGACAAGACATCTTTGCGTGTGATTGTTTTACAACGAGAGGTTATAGAGGTTACCGGATACGTGCGAGTGGCATCAAGGACAGCGGTCTGTCTCGGGAGGTAGTTGCGTGGTAAGGTCAAGGCTTTAACCCACTTCAATGTTTATAGCAGTTAGATAAAGCCTTTATGGATTAAAACTACAAAGAACAGCAGCTCTGTATCATAGCAACAAGTTTGGCAAGAAGGAAAGTGGAATCTCCCAGCAAGCCAGTCACACAACATGGTCATATATTGCAGACTGTTTTGAATTATATTTAGCTAACATCCACATAAATATTTTTATCTGTAATATTTTCCCATGTCTTAATATTTTTTACCATAGTTTTAGAAAAATGCAAACAATTTGATGTATAATTTATACAGTTTTCAAAAGGCCATTTTCTTGCTTTTGGGTTTTGAAGGCACAGTTGCACACACTGCCACCATGTGGCAAACTGTTGTATGTGGAATGTTTTTCCCTATGGTTTTTCCCCTCCAAACCAAGATGGCCGACGGCCAGTCAAAAATGCCAGTTTGGTCCGGAAAATGCATCATTTGAATGTAATTTGCGTTACGTAAATAAAAAGACGTGATTATTTAATGTATATGTTGCTTGGAATGTGTCACTTTACTCTTTACATCAAAAAAGCAATACGATTATATAATGCATGTTACTTGTAATGCATTTCCATCAACACTGCATGCCAGATGAGATTAAAAACACCGGATTGCTAGTGTTCCCCCCCCCCAACATCAATAGAACATCAATAGATCAATGTAGATTTCAGGGTAATAAGGGTAAATCAACATACTCTGTGTGAAGCTGTTCCTCATATTCTCTGGTCAAACAGGAACAATCTCAATTGCAATAACTGAACATCATTTTATTATTTCATTTATTGGTTTGTTAAATACAGTATTACTGTGTTATTACTGTATTATGTTCTCTTCAGTTAACAACAGAAACGCATACTGTGTCTACTCAAGTGGACATCTGAAAATATTGTTTTCCGTGCCCTAAAATAAAAACATGAAAAAGATCCTGACTTAGTAAATATATGTATTTTGGTTTTAAATAAATGCTGTTATAACTTTTAAAACGGAACTTTCTATTATCATTGAATGACATTGTGAAATATATTAAAACAGAATTATTATAATAATATTTCACAATATTACTGGTTTTATTATATTTTGCATGAGAGACTTATTTCCAAATCAGTGTTGAATTGGTATTGTTTTTTTTTTGCACAAAAAAGTGTAAAAACATATCTTTTTAAAAAACGTATGGAGCCAGAGATGACAGTGAACAAAATGTTTTTGTTCTTTAACAAAAATAAACCCGAAGTCTTGATGATGCTATCAACTCTGAAGGCTGTAAATAGTCGTGGTCTCTTTAAATAGATTTGTGTCCACTTAAGATAGATGTTTTAAGGTGAGTAGCTTGTATCTGAAGACGTCGCCCTAAATAAACTTTTGTGGTGTTTTTATCTCTCAGTTTCCAGACAATGACAGCACTCTGTGTCTGAAGAACAGATCTTCCTTTGAGCACCAACATCATCACCTGCTACATTGTCTGGAAAAGACAACCGTGAGTACAGCTCCTCCGCTCAGTCTGTTACTGGACACAAAGTGCATAATCCAGAATGTTTCATGAAGCATTTCCTCCCGTTTTCCAACAGAACCATGAGTTCACAGACGAGCTGACGTTCAGTGAGATGTGCATGACCGAGTCTGTGGGTTACCGCACCAGCCGCAGCACCTCCATCTCCAGCCAGCAGGGGTTGTCGACGTCCTGCTGCCCCCGCAGAGCTAAGAGAAGAGCCATCCGCCTCGCCAACTCCACCGTGTCCGTCAGCCGGGGCAGCGTGCAGGAGCTGGACACTCTACAAGTGCACAAAACATATGTTGGACCCCAAAGGTATGACATCAGACAGGCATGATGATGTCATTTTCACTCTCAAATCAAATAGAAAAAAGGTATCAGGAAATATAAACTTAGATTTACTTATTTATTTAGCATAAAGAAAATTTAGAGTATTTTTAGGAGCATTACAAATATATCATTATTATTATATCCGTAGTTCATCATTAATTTATTTTTTACATATAGCATGTACAGTACATACATGCATTTTCTGTGAACAGCTTTGAAATGATATTTATTATTTAAAAAACGTTATACAAATAAATAAAAAAAGTTGTATTTCTTTTTATAAGAATTACTTTTATCCAGGAAGGATGCTTTATGAGACAAAAAAAAAAACAGTAAATACATGTTACAAAATACTTAATAAATTTATATTAAAATAAATGATTTTAAATTGGAATAATATTTCACAATATTACTGTATTTCTTGTATTATATATATAAATGCATCCTTTGTGGTCATAAGAGACGACTTCTTTCTAAAAACAGTAAATAATCAACATTTCAGTTCAGGTCATGTTGTTTTATAATAATTATTATGATTTTAATTATTAATAATTATACTGTATATTACTTAACCTAAACTGAAATATGTAAAATACTGATATACCGGTAGTATTTATATGTAATGTTGTTTTATAATTATAATGATTTTAGTTATTTCTATCAACAATTATAAATTTACTTCATAAGTGTATTTATAATAATTATAAATAATTGTTAGTATATGTGAATACACTATAATCCATAAATGGTTTAATAACTATAAATAATTTTTGTATTTGATATTTATTCATTACAGTAATTATAATGAGACTGTTTTGAATATTTCTTGACATTTTTCTTAAGATGTCTTAAGATTCTTAATGGGCTCTATGCACGGCGTTTACATTTAAATACAATACATTTCACACACTGATAAATACAGCTTCTTTTATTTTATTTTTATTTTATTTTATTTATTTATTTGACAGGGACAGTGTACATTAATTAGCCTTACTGCAAATGTACAAGAATTAGCCAAAAGGCTATTTTTCATCCATTGTCCCTGGACAGATGTTAATATTGTCTACCAGCAGTTAAAACTTTACAAGGAAAATACAAAATATAAAAACAATATAAATCGCTAAATCCTTTATGTAAATACAGTGTACAAATTCATTATCTTATCAACATTTTGGCAAAATATAAATGTTGAAAACAGTTACTCAACAAGGACACAGATGGCAGCACGATCAGGTCAGGAGAAATTATATACTTATTAGTGCTGACATAACTGGTGTAATATGAGCCAGTTTTACTGTATTTTTCTACATGTGTATATATATGACACCAACAAAAACAATAACTTCTGTCACAATTCCAGTGATATCCCATCTAACCTGGAACTTTTGTTTTTCTTTATGAACGAACGTGTCCAAACAGCCGCTCCAGTCTGAACGCCCGGACGGAAGACCTGAAGCTCAACTGTGAGGATAGAGATTTCACCGCGGCTATCATCAGTATACCCACCCCTCCTGCCAACACCCCCGACGAGAGTCTGCCGCCCTCTCCTGCCATTCCTGGAATCTTACGCAACTCCCGCTGTTCCTTCACCCACGAGACAGTGAAGATCTCCTCCTTATAACCGCCACAAGCACACAAGCACCCTCTACCGCACAACAGAAAGCAAGTGATGGGGGAAAGAGCGCTTCTCCTAGGAAAAGACACGTAACATATCTGCTTCATTCCAAATCGACAGTTCGACGCAGACTCGCATGAGCTGACGTGCTTTTTTTGTGACCCTGTTGTACATCGGAGGACCGCAGACCGATCGGACGCGCTTGTTCGGGGGACAAACTCAATCCGATGCATTTTACAATGATAAATCAGCAGTCATAGTGGCACAGAAGGCCTTTTACTTTTAAAGATATGCAATGTTTCAACAAGCAGGAATTATGCCTATATACGTACATCCACTGCGTAATACAGTTGCAGGAGAGATTACAAAAGGTGGGAATGATCTTTGCAGGGAAAAAAAAAAAAAAAAATGATGGCCGATATAGAGGAGGTGGTGTATATGTATCAATATTTGTATCATATTGACCTCTTTAGATCACATGCATCTTCAAAACCCCACTAAAAAAAAAGAGATTTCTGAGCAATCCTACCCAAACATGCATGATGTTGTATAGTAGATACCATGGCAGAGAATGGAGCCGCCAACATGCTACTCTCACATACTTTTGCATGAAACTTAATTTACCTCTGTTTAGTTTGTCCTGTTTTCTTTATTGACATTGAAGAAAAAAGATGATATTTACAGAGTATTAATGATCAAATGTGCTGCACTAGATGTGCACATTAGAAAAAAGAATGATAAACAAACATTCAGGCATGTTCTTTGCAAAAATCTTAGGCTGAGCGAGTGAGTGAGTGTGTGTGTGTGTGCGTGAGAGGTCCGACTCAGAATTTGATCACAGATATGCATGGATACCGTTATAGGTATTTTTATGTTTTCTCCCATGGGAAAATGAAGCGTTCCTATAGCATTTTAAAGCGAATTGAGGGCGTTTACCACTGTCATTGAGTTTTACCGCAGTAATTAGTCACTTCAACTCATTCTTTTTTTTTTTTTTTCATTTGGCTTGGTAATTAAGTGTAACCTAAACCCTAGTTAGCTATTTTTATACAGTAGTTCACGCATATGTCCAGTGGGTCATTTCTCTGATTTGTTTTGATGCTCTGTTAATGTCTATTTAAAATTCATAGGCAGCAATGAGACGGGCAATAATAGTGTGATTATTTTTTAATACAGCTGAAAAGAAAGATACAATTCTAAATGGAAATGAGTACAAAACCGGTGGAATGCAAATTTGCACTTGACTGATGAAAAATATATTTGTTACTCTGTTTACAAGCCTTTTTATTTTTACGTTTGTTTCGGTTCTGTTTCTAACCAAGCCCTCTCCAGCTTCATAAAACGGTGTGAAGTGGTAAATTTAGTAATTGGTCATGGCACTTGCTCATTTTCGGCAGGGGTTTTGGGTGAAACGGCTCCTGGTAGAAGATTAAAGAGTTAGATATCAAAAGCACAGAGGTGTAAAGTCTATTCCACAAATAAAGTGAACAGAACTCAGAAAACAAAATGTCTGTTGGCTCTCAATCACATCTCAACATCTGCATCGATTATTTTGTTTTTGAAGTGTTACATATCATCTCAAAAAATGTAATTTACGTACTTTTCTTCAGATATGCTGACACCATCTGATGTTTTATGGTGCTAATCTTGAATGCGATGGGTAAGATGTTCACTTAAAGTCTCATGGCTAATTGTTTTCTGGTTTTCTCCTGAGGGAACACTGTGTAATTGGCTATCAAATTGCATAATGTGAGAATTTGCCTTTAAATCAAAATAATTTAGCTGAGCATAATTACTCGCACCACAGCCGATCTTTTAGCACTAAGTCAACATGAAATGCATATTACATCTCTAATGTGGCATTTCTGAGAGGAATAGGATATTTAAAGCTGGAAATATGTAGGGCGGGGCTTGATTTTCCAGGAATTAATTGGATGTTTTAAATGTTGACTTAGCTGCGATAAAACAAAAGTAGCAGGGATTTCTTCCATGTTGTCACATACATTTGTATGTAACAGATGATCAAAAATGCATCGGTTGTTGATCGGATATTGAGATTTAGCAACTTAGCAACTTTGTTGCTAGATTAGCGACTTTTCACACTCCTTTAGCCCCCCAAAAAACAAACATTGATTTTAGTCTGTCACTACTTGTTCCATTGTCTGACAGAAAATATTTAAATGAGAACAGCTTTATTGGATATTTGGCTATATATTATATTAAATACAGTATGTGGGTATGGACTAGTAGAGAAAACAAATGTAAAGTGCTGACAGTTGACGCATTAGGGAACAATTGTTTGCAACAAATTCTAAATGCATTTAGAAAATATATCGGGTGAATTTTCAATTCATTGAACTGAAACTGAATCCCATGGGCCTATTGTATAACTTTGATATGATGATAATTTTTTTCCGTATATTTTATTTTATTATATAGGCCTGTTTTATGTAATCAAAGCTGTTACATCCAATCCATAATTGTGATTAGTATCAAGCTACACTCCACCATCATAACTCTCTGTTTGTTAGGATGACGAGTTACATTTCTAGGCTAGTCTGCCTCAGAGGTCACCAGTCGCGCCCACAGCCGGTGCCGGAAGTAAAAATTCAATACAATTTCTCCATTGACAGTTGGGATGTGTACGCCATAAAAAACATAGGTGGTAGACTTAAAACCAGCCTAAACCACCACAGCCTATGAGCGAGCCAGATGCTCAGTTTTTTAGCATGTGGAGCTGCAAATGCGTTTTACTTAGTCATATAAGCTTCAGTAAATCGAGGAAAAGGAGTTTTCTTTTACTGTCTATGGGAGTTTCCCTGCACGACGCGTCATCAATCCGGAAGTCGGCCATTTTGGAGGCACAGAACATAAACAATGCCATTGAACTGAACGGACTCGCAAATTTGGCTGATTATTTCTGCTGAAAATGATCGAGTTTTGGTCTGTACTAATCTGTCGCATCGGGAAAATACCTTTTGAGCTCTATAGACTGCCAAAAGTTAAAGAGAAGAGTGCAAAAAAATTATGAAAGAAGGCGTTTGTGGTTGAGAGAGGCACAGCATCAGCTCATGAGTCACATGTGTAAATGAAGCTTTGACTATGGCGTAAAATGTTAACGTATTAACTATGGCTACATTCACACTGTCTCTCAAAATCCGATTGGAATTTGATCCAAAATGATGTGCACACTCAAGGAAGAATTGCAGTACGGGCTAGAGAAGCTAGCTCGTTTGGACCTTTACCACTTATTAGCTTTAGTTTGTCAAAATATTGCGCTCTCTCCTGCTTGGTAAGTCCTTCTCTATATGATTTCGCAACTACCACGGGTTTTTTCTGTGTTTTTTGTTTAGTTTAACAATGTGTTCAGTAGTACATAAACAGTGCAACCCATGCTGTTGTTTACATCCGAGTGCCTCATCCGGTTTATTAATTCCTCATCCGGTTTACTAACATATATGTGATATGTCCATAATTGCCATATCAATATCATAGATCAATATGGCTCTGAACCATAGGACCATGACCCATGATATAATGAAGGCGGAAAAATGGTTACGCAACACTGACCTCTAGCGGTAGAGTAACAACAGCAGCGCGAGCTCAAGAGGCTTGATTATGCGATAGACCGTTTCAGTCTCGACACAGAATTAAAAGGGTATTTTTTAACTCACAATTTTGACTTTTATAAAATCGCAATTGCGATTTTTATCGTTATATATTTTAATTGCTACTAGTTTATATCTAAAACTTCTGTGGAGTAATATCACATTTGGAATTCTGTGAAAAAGAATTTCGAATTGAAACGAGTTTCCATGGATTTACAAAGTTTGTTTGAGAGTATTATCATGAGTATTATCAGCGAGTAACTGCTTAAAAGAAAAATAAGGCTTATTCTATCAATTGAAATGCAGTTGAATGGTCTCAGATGAAGGAAATGAACAGGATGCTAATAAAAAAATGAAGTGACATCACAGAACCTTTAAAAGCAGATCCAGCACTTGGCCTGTCCCTCTCCTCCGTCCTCCGTTCTGAAATCATGTGGTTCATGCTCCTGTATTTGCAAATATCAGCTATTCAAGGCAAGTGAAACTGTATTTCCTAATTAAAATAAATTCCATATTTTTGCAGTGTTTACATCCATTGTGTTCTATGCTGCTGTTAATGAGTCACTTAATGGATGAAGCATGCAGGCTAAACAAACAGGCTATTGAAATAACATGCACATTTATTTATTTTGCATAACCTATGTTTGTTTAATCTGGGTCCAATAGCATTCTTTTGTAATTCATTGCAACATTTTTCATTAGGTTACGTATCATTCATCAATTTATAGTATCAAGATAACAATTAAAAAATAATAATAATTTTGCTTTAATGAAAATTAAAATTCTCCAATTAAAATTCTCAAACACTCCAACTCCAATTCTCCAGCTCCTAGCATTTGGTGCTTCAGTGGAAACAAGATTATCTGACTGATAAATCTGATAAAATGGCTAATGAGTGACAGTATAACTTTTTTGTTTGTTTTTAACATTTTCAAAATAAAAAACATGAAAATGAAGCTATAATAATCAATATTTTACTGGAAATTCTGATTCTATTTTGATTTTTGGATATGAGATTTGGATATGATGCGGCATAATGCAGACAGGGAAATGAACAAAAAAATAGCCATCATTTTTGCAATCTGCAGTCTGCTAATTTAATTATGTATATGTTTGTTTGTTCATTTGTTTGTTATTAATTTCAATAACATTTCCGTAGCTTCATCTTTATAATATAATAAAATAAAATATGTGATAGGCCTGTATATATGCATGCATTAACAAGCTCTTAATGTAAATAATGTAAATAATGTATAAAGTATATATAAATGCAATTGCAGTTTCAAAACTTATGGCTAATTTGTTTAATTTCTATGTGAAATGTAATTATAATTAAATGCATTAAAATATTTATTATTGTTATATATATATATATATATATATATATATATATATATATATATAAGCTTTTTATTTAGCTATTTGATTATCTAACTAGAGCACTGAACATACATATAGTTGTTGTTTTTTATATCAAGTTCCTGAGAAAATTTTTAATTAGTTAAATTTGAAAATAATTAATTAGTGGATAAATAAATTAACAAATAAAAATGGAGGAAAAAATGGTTATGCATTCACATATAGCATAAAATTGTAGTTTTGTTACGCTCTTTTAGGCTATCTCCTCTCAGTGTACATTAACAAATCAATTTAATGATCAAAATCATTCATTCTAAATTAAAACAGCTACAATGATTAATATATAGAAGAATATGATAATGCATCTTTGTGATATAAAATGTATTATTATTTGCTAACACTTTACAATAAGGTTCATCAGTTAGCAGCATAGGTAACTACTTTAGTTAATTCGATCTAAGAATGAACAATACTTGGACAACATTTAATAATCATTGTTAATGTTAATTTCAATGTTTACTAATACATTATTAAAATCAGTTGATATGTTTGTTACATTAGTTAATGCATTGCGAACTATTACGAACAATCAATTAATGACTATTTTTTATTAACTAACAAAGATGACTAAATACTGTAACAAATACATGAACTCTTGAAACTTCGTACTTTATGGAAAAATGGTAGGAATACAATATTTATGCACATTAAAACATGTTGCATGAGAGTTTCCCTATAATGTTCATGATGGTTGCAATAAATTTCAAAGCAATGGACCTGAAGTTTCTGAAACCATGATCATTCAGTGGTTTGTATGTTCTTCATAACCCTGTGGAAAGACACGGTTATGCCTGTGGTTAACTCACTGATGCTTATGTGCAGCGGGTTTATCTCAGAATCTGCAAAAACATGCAATTTGCCAGAATTTCAGAGCTGAAAGCCACAGGCAGATAAGAGACCGCTGCAGTTTCTGCAGAGCATGTGGTTCTTCTGCTCTCAGAATTCACAACCACATTTTCCAGCGACCATATAAGGTTAAAAAAGACACCTTGACCCTGATGATATTCTATCATTTAACATTTTACAATATGGCTCATTAGTTAACGACTTTAGTTAACATGAACTAAGAATTACAGCAGTTCCATACACATATATATATATATACACACACACACATACAAACATATATATATAAAAGGAAAAAGGAATAAAAACAATGTAAAAAAAAATTGTTGCTGTCCACCACTTTTTTTTTTGACAACATAAATTCAAGATATAAAATATATCTATCCAATCTGATAAGTTATGATGTTTAGCACTTGAAATTTTACTATACAATATTTTATTGCATTTAAAATAAGTACTGTTATTTCAAAATAAAAACACATTTTCATAAAAAACATTTTTTTTTTTTTGATAATTGTTTTACGAGTTTTTTTTAAGCAAAAAAAGTTTTTGTTTTGCAGGGCTCAATGTGGCTTTACGTGGATCGACCAGCCCGTGTAAAGGCCGGCTGGAGGTGCGTGCCGGTGACGGCCGGTGGGGCTTGGCGTGTCATCACGGCTGGAAGGAAGAAAATGGACAGGTTGTGTGTAAATCATTAAAGTGTGGGCACGTGAAGGATTCCGGTTATCAAATTACCATGTACAAAGATCCACCTCCACCCAAACTATTTTTGATGGATCAAGTGACCTGCATATCGAATGAAACGAGCCTTTGGGAATGTCCATTTTATGGTGGAGATAACCTTCAGTGCAAAAACGATGTTCCTTCTTTCGTTGCTGTTGAATGCACTGGTAGGTAGTGTTTCTAGTTTCACATGTTTAACTGAAATTATTGCATTTTATAATTATTTTTTGAGGTCATCTTGGTTAGTATCCAGAGGTGAATCAATACACAGTGTTGATGCCAAGCTTTTCACCATAGGAAATGTTAAACTGAGTTTGAATGGGCAGAGGGATAAATGTGCAGGAACGGTGGAGTACACAACGCAGAACGGCAACTTTGGTGTCTGTAAAGATTCTGCCTGGGGTAAGTGGACTAAAAAAAAGAATTTATTTTTAATTTCTAGTTCTTAGCCACTAAATGTTGACTAAAAAGAGGAATAAAAAAAAAATCATCTTTTGGAAATTGATCTAAATGCCTTAATTAAAAACTTTAGCATGGGTGTGTTCACTTATGCTAAGCATAAATGTTTAGCTTAATGTATGTTTTGTGAATTATACTGTAGTCTGTTAACTTTGGTATTTGTAAATATGTAATTATTAATGAATATTTGCGTGTAATGTTATATATGATAGCTGACACTTTATGCAAGGATTATCTTTTATGTATTTAATTGCATCTGGCCAAGGTAAAACACAAGCAGACAAGATATGCCAGGAGCTTAAATGTGGAGATTGTTATCGGGGATGTGATGAAAAGGATGGACTGTTTAAAGGACAAACGAGCGAAGAAAGTGTATCGCTTAAATGTGATGGCAAAGAACAGTTCTCTTGGCAATGTATGTATGAGTTGTCAAACTGCATGGAACAAGTCGGTGTGATCTGCAAAAGTAAGTGTAAAGCTACTATTGTTAAACAGCTTTCTGGGGTATGTCGCTCTGATTGATGGCATTCATTGTTCTGATATTCTAATATTCAATCAGTCTGTTCATCTGGGAATCTGAACATTTTCACTGAAATTCCTTAATATACTGTATTTTCAGTAATTGTCCCAGATAGTATTTTCATGATTTGTATCAGGTGAGTGGTAACATGCACACTCATATTTACACTGGGACACTTGTATTGTACAGAACACAAGAGGTTCCGTCTGCGAGATGGCGACGATCTTTGCTCTGGGCTTGTGGAAGAGCGCTATGTCTCAGATCAATCGTGGGTTCCTGCTAAGGATAAAGATGTCAACCCTGAAGACATCTGTACGCAATTAAATTGTGGAACCTCTGTAAATTTCACTAACGATAATGGAAATAACGGTCTCCGACTGACATGCTCAGGTAATGCACAGGGTTTTTTTTTTTTTGTGTGTGTGAATAATATTACATAAATAAATATATAAATGTTAATACATATTTAAATGTTTGATAAGTTATTAATGTAATTATTAATAACAAATGCTACATTAATACAAAGAGAGAAACACAGTTTGAAAAAGATGATTTTTTTTGTACAATGTTATCATTACAAATTGAAAATTGTATTTCTTCTCAAGTTAAATTAATATGAGTTGCAATTTAATAATAGGGTTGTTAGCTATTATTGTGCTCAAGGTTGTAGAACCTTGTAAAATGTGAATATGATGTAAACATTATTACTACACTGTAAAAATTGTAAAAAGTTGAGTTAATACAATGAAGGAGATTAATTTAATCACCAGAAACTCAAAATATTTTGTTATCTGAACTACATAAATTATCTAAGTTTATTTGACAAAAGAAAAAATGTTGTGATTACAAATCATGAAAATATTTTTTACAGTGTATTTATTATAGCCTATTTATTATGTTTTTTGTACAATATGAAACAAATTTACAAATTTAACATTGTATTGTTTCATCTCAAGGTAAATTAATACATGAAAATGTGTTGCAATTTAATAAATGGGTTTTTATTATTATTATGGTAATAGGGCAGACAGAGTTGACATTACACGCTCAAGGTCGTACTGACATTAATAACAATAAAAATACATATTTATTTGTATTTATTTTTATGTGTATAGTCATATAGATAATAAATATGCTACTTAACCAATATATCTTATTAAATAAAATAAAAAAGCTTTTAATGATACATCACATCAACTTAAAATATCTCTCTCTCTCTCTCTATATATATATATATATATATATATATATATATATATAGATAGATCAAAATAATTTTTTTATTATTTTGGATTTATTATTATTTTGGTCAGTATTGAAATCATACTTATGTAACATGATTATTTCACATGACTTTGGGAACTTGTTGAATTTGGTAGAAAGACGCATTTCAACAATTATTAAAAAATCGAAATTTGAACATTTATTGTACTTTTTGAACTATTAAAATAAGTAGTTCTTTTCTAATGCACTTAAGCAAAGTATAAGAGTATTCAAGTAGAAATTATTACCACAAATAAATAAGATCAACAGTAAAGTGCACTTCCACAATCTCATGAAAACTAGTATCTTTATTATTAGTCATAGGTCACTCTGTGTTTAATTTTCAAGTGGTTAAACAAATTTGCAGTGTTCCCCTGCGTTGTAGCCACTACCATTGCAAATCTTGCACAAAGCATGTTGCTCCTCGTTGCTTCTATATATATATATATATATATATATATATATATATTATTAAACAGTGGGGTAGTTCCAAGCCAAAACAGCCATCCTTCTAATGAAGGAAAGGACGAATGTGATAAGAAAAATATTTAATTAAAAAAAAAAAAAGTATATTTGAAAAGTCAGCATCACATTCTCGTTCTTATTTTTTTGTTTGATGTACATTAGTAGTTTGTGTTAATAATGCATACAAGTTTTATTGAATCCTACACTGCAAATGTTTTATTTCAATTTACTGTTTTCATTTGAATCCTTTATTTTATTTGTTTTTTTTTAATGACATTTTCTGTGTTCACAGGCAAGGTCAACCTTCGCAACTTCACATCAAAGTGTTTTGGAGATGTTATGGTTAGTGTGAACGGCTCTGACTATGGAGTGTGCTACAGTAAATCGAATAAAAGACTGGGGGAGCAAGTGTGTAAAGAGCTTGGCTGTGGAGAGTTGCTGGATGAGAAAGAGGGCCGCGGCATTTCTAACGGTTTGCTGAGTAACGTTGAGTGCCTGGGCGACGAGGCTTCACTGTGGCATTGCCTGGCCAAACATGAGATAAAACAATGCAAGTCAACCACTGTTATATGTGAAGGTAACTGAGACAGCCTTGCAGTTAAAGGGATTGATCACTTTTACTCACAATTAATTTTTGGTATGTTTTAGCTTACCTCAAGGGCATCCAAGATGCAGGTGTCTTTGTTTCCACAGTAGTTTCAATTTTGATTATTTTAAGTCAAACCGTTCGTGTCTGTCAGTCATATAATGCAGGTCTATGGTCACCACCTCAAAGAGCATGCACAGAGAAGTCCAAATTAAACATGATTTAATGACTCTTAAATGTAAGGACACATCGATGGCCTAAGACACGAAACGAGCGGTTTGTGTGAGAAAACGAACAGTATTTATATCGTTTTTACCTGTGGTTACAAGAGGTTAAAACGATATAAATACTGTTTGTTTTCTCACACGAGTCATTAAATCATGTTTAATTTGGACTTCTCTGTGCATGCTCTTTGAGGTGGTGACCATAGACCTCCATTATATGACTGATAGACACGAACGTTTTGACCTAAAAATATCAAAATTGAAACTACTGTGGAAACAAAGACACCTACATCTTGGATGCCCTTGAGGTAAGATAAAACATGCCAAGAAATTATTTCAAAGTGAACTATCCCTTTAATTATGATCTTTTCAGAATATACAGGAAAGTTACTTAAATCACATGCAACTGAGGCAGTAATAAAATGTGATGGTTTTAAATGGCAGACAGCTTGGATATGCGTTTGAGTGATGGTCTGGGTCGTTGTTCTGGACGTGTAGAGCTGCAATGGGAGGGCAAATGGAAGTCCATAAACTCCTACGGGTGGACCAATGAGGAATCAAACATTGTGTGTGAACATCTCAAATGTGGTCAATCAACTTCAATAAATAAACTCCTCATTGAAGAGAAACAGAATCAACTGGAATCATGGCATTTCAAGTGTGTAAACTCTAAAGCAAAAATCTATGAGTGCTTAAAAGAAGCGAGAACTTCCAAGAGTCAAAGAGCACTAAATGTAAAAGTCATATGCCAAAGTAAGTAAAAATATGATTTGATGACAATTTTGTGTTTTTGACATATTTTCACAATATTTACATCATTTTCAGCATACTGAATCCCAGTAGTTTTTACACCTGTTTATTAAGTAATTAAAGCTAAGGTATTACTCTTCGTGTAGAGCATGCACTATAAGTAACCACAAATCTTTTATCTTCATTCGCAGAGGAAGAACTGATGTTCTTTGAAGGTGATTCACCCTGCAGGGGAAGAGTACTCGTCAAGTCATTTGGTGAGACCGAGGCCCGTCCGCTGCCTGCAAATTCAGTGGCAGACAAGACAAAAGCCAACGACACATGCCGTGCAATGCAGTGTGGTGACGTAGTCCCCTTTATAGAGCAAAACGGCACTTATGGCACTTATGACAATATCACATGTTCAGGTATGTGTGCATATGACTGCAATTTTCTGCAAACTTGTTATTTATCAAAATGTGACCTGAATAACTGATCTTGTGAATTGTAATTTATTTTAGCATTATAGAGACCATATCATACACTTTTTTTTAGAACATTTTTGTTTGTTTTCCCCCCTGAGGTTAGTCAAAGGGTCTTATACCACTCACTTAACTGACTCTGTATTGATTGGCTCTTGACTGTCATTTTATTCTAATTTCATCCATTGCATATTTAAGCACAAATAATTTTGAGATTTTGACCATTTTTTTTTTAATATCTATAAAAAAATACATTACAATTTCTTAGTTTTTGAAACAAGTTTCTTATGCTCACCAAGGCTACATTTATATGATCCAAATTACAGTAAAACTAATATTGTGAAATCGTATTACAAATTAAAACTGTTTTCTATTTGAATGCCACTATAGTTATAGAAACTGCTATTTATTTTCTCTGTACACCGGTACCATCAAACCACATTCATCTGCAGAGGAGCAAAGCATTTTCAAGATGTATGCAGTTTTATTTTTAAGCACTAGAGGGCCTACATAGAGCTACATAGTGGACACTGGACAGTAGGGTTAACATTGCTGTGTGTAAAATGCTTATATTCTCAATGATGCCACTTGTAGGCTCGGTGAACGTGACACTTCGAAACAAGCTTGAAAAGGATGAAAGGTGCTGGGGAACGGTAGAGGTCTGCACAAATGACGGATGTGGAGGAGTTTGCATGGACACCTGGACAAATGAAGAGTCCACAAAGATCTGTGATGGCTTGGGCTGTGGTAAACCAATTCAGATCACGATTCCGACACAATACAGTGGATCCGGAAACTACTATAGTGTATACTGCTTAAATGAGGGGAAAAATCTTAGCATGTGCAGGTTTATTCCCATTAGCAACTCCATCTGCAGTAATCCAGCCCAAGTGATATGCACAGGTAATGTGTACAGTTGCTTTGTTCAACACCAACTGTTTGTTTTTTTAGTCATTAGAATTGTGGCAATGTATTTTTTGTTTTTTTCATGCTTAAAAAAAATTAGGGATGCACCAATGTATAGGCTAATAATCGATATCGACGGAAAGGAATATTTTCACCATCGGCCATTGGCTGACGATAAATATATAACAGCTGATGATAAATCCTGCCAAACAAAAGTCGGTGGGAAAATGTGTCAGATTCCAGATTCTGTCCATTTTATCACGAGTTTTCGGTCATATTTACTTTAATACAAATAAAAAACATGTATGAATGTCAAAAAGTATGTTGGGAAATACAGTAGACTACAACTCACCGAAATAATGTCTCATGTAATCGCTTAATCTGTGTTTCAACCGTGGAAAGACATATATTTATTTAAAACAGCTTAAGTACATTTTCGCCTAACTTTGCATTTACCTTTGAAAAGTTATCCAATGTGCACAGTTCATTAATTAGCTATAAAATAAATCAATAAACTAGAAGGGACCTTATTTAGTCTTATATTTATGTGTGAAAAATTTGTATTAAAATAAGCGTTTATGACAAACATTTGAGTGTAATTATTACATCTCAAAATAAATAGTTGAATAGTTTTATCTCTGTTGTTAATTTTAATCTCCAATATTACACAAATACAAAATTAGAGCAATCCCCTTTATAGTTTCCCAGCATTAGCTGGAAGATATTTTTTTCCCTAAGGAAAATCAAACTCGGTAACAGTATCGGCAGATATTATTCTGAATAATCTGCTTTTTTGATGGAGAAATTTAGGATTGGTGCATCTCTCATGTTTTACACATACCTTTGGGTACCTACATGGGTACCCTTTCATACACTTGTGAACCCTGGGATAGCGTTCTTATTTTTATAAGTGAGATGTAGTTAAGAAAAATCGAGCACAGTATGAGCATGCAACGTGTGCTTGAAATGTTGCTAAATAAATCTCCACCATCTCCTTAAATGTATCACAAAAACAGTGAGAATTCTTCCAGTTTTGTACATTTGACATTTTGAACCAAAATTGTGCAATTGACAATCAACATTTTTTCCTTTGATGCCAGAAATAAACAGGGTTTAAAGTGTTAGTTCACCCAAAAATGAAAATTAAGTCATTAATTACTCACCCCCATGCTGTTCCAACACCGTAAGACCTTCGTTCATCTTCGGAACACAAATAAAGATATTTTTGATTGAATCTGAGAGCTGGATCAGTCCTACATAGACTGCCTAAGGGACTGGCTCTTGACGGCCCATAAAGTCATTAAAGAAAAGGTTTAAATATTCCATGTGCCTACAGCGGCTCAATTATAAGTTTATCAAGCGACGAGACTACTTTTTGTGCGAAAAAAAAACATAAATAACGACTTTATTCGACTATTCCATTACTTCCTTATGGGCGCATGCGCGAGAACTGAGACGAGGACGTTCTCATTCGTCTACTTCTTGTTACCGGCTGATCACCGCTTAGGAGTATTACCGCCACCTACCGTATAAAATGATGATCCATATATAAGGCGCTCCGGATTATTTTTTGAGAAGATTAAAGGCTTTTAAGTGCACCTTATAGTGCGTAAAATACGCTAATTGAAAAGCGTATGTACAGCGCGCATCTTCCTCTGCTTGTAAACAGAAAGTTTTGCGCTTCCAGCTATATCAGCACATCATCTTATACGGTAGGTGGCGGTAAAACTCCTAAGCGGTGAGCAGCCGGTAACAAGAAGTAGACGAATGAGAACGTCCTCGTCTCAGTTCTCGCGCATGCGCCCATAAGGAAGTAATGGAATAGTCGAATAAAGTCGTTATTTATGTTTTTTTTCGCACAAAAAGTAGTCTCGTCGCTTGATAAACTTATAATTGAGCCGCTGTAGGCACATGGGATATTGAAACATTTTCTTTAATGACTTTATGGGCCGTCAAGAGCCAGTCCCTTAGGCAGTCTATGTAGGACTGATCCAGCTCTCAGATTCAATCAAAAATATCTTTATTTGTGTTCCAAAGATGAACGAAGGTCTGACGGTGTTGGAACAGCATGGGGGTGAGTAATTAATGACTTAATTTTCATTTTTGGGTGAACTAACCCTTTAATAGTTTTTGTGAAGTGCTTGAATATTTTGTTAGGCAAGCATTACAGAGTTACATGTGTGAAATGTTGGCTAACACTGAATTAAAATGGGCCTTAATCTCGGGTTAAATAAGATGTTAAGCACAATGTGAAAAGCCATTTAATAAAGATTTATTTGATACTCTCTGCAGACAGCGTCAAAGCTAAACTGGAGGATCCAAGAGACAAATGTGCTGGAACTGTGTCACTGTATTACAATGGGAAATGGACACCCGTCTGCCAAGACAGTCTTGATGCAGATCTTGGTAATACAATCTGCAGGGAATTGAATTGTGGGCAGTATAATCCTACTACTTTGACTTTCAAAGACAAGTTTCAAAATGAACTACCGAGTATTGAATGTAAGAGTGATGCCAGCTCTGTTTCCAAATGTAAATTCAGAGACATTTCAGGCAAAACATGCTCTGTCGGCTATCTACAATGCACAGGTATTTCACATTTGTTTGATGATAATAACTCTTGAAATGTGCAAACATTACTTTTTAGGTGAAGGGTGTAGTTTCTGCACATACTCTGACTTTTGACTTCTCCATCTTAAACATGCTAACAGAAACCTTTGATATTTCTGCCATAACAGAAAAGAAACGATTGCTCCTGTATGAAAAGAGACGCGCCTGCAGTGGTCCTGTATATGCTCATAGCGGAGAGAAAACACTGTTAGTAAGCGGACAGGGATGGGGCAAAGAGGAAGGGCAGAAGATGTGCCAGTATCTACAGTGTGGAGATTACATATCACACTCCACTACAACCAAAGACACGCAAGAGTGGTGGAGTAGGAGCTATAATTGCTCTGGGAAGACGGATATTTGGGAATGCGAGAGACATGTTCAGGCCCCCCAGCTTCATGAGCAATTAAATATCACATGTCACAAAGGTATCACCTCAGTTTTAAACTCTTACTTTTTGAGAAGTTTTTTTAGCAGCACTGCCAACTATTGTTTTTATTGACATTTGAGTAAACCAGGGTTGTGCACCATTCATAATTAAATTTTCAATCCCCTTCTAATTCCAGTTCAGTTACAAATTAATGAATATATTTGTGCATACGTATATATATATATATATATATATATAATGTACAGTATATTAGGTTTATTATAGTTAACTAAAACTAGTTGCCAAAGCAACATTTCTCATTGTAATTTTGTTTAGTTAACTACAACTGAAATTAAAATGTATAACCAAAAATACCAAAACTATTGAAAATGACTAAACACAACAAAATTGCTAATATATATATATATATATATATATATATACACATAAAAACTCATTTAAAATATTAATAAAAACTTTAATAGTATATAAATTATGCTATGTATATATATATATATATATATATATATACTGTATATATATATATATATATATATATATATATATATATATATATATAAATAAACTTTTTCTAGTAAATGATTCGAGTAACTTTTTTGACATTTGTGTATAAAGTGTTTTATTTCTACAATATATGGTGTAAAAACGTCTTAGTGCTGCCCTCTTCAGGTTGAACGGTGGCTACTGCAGTTGATTTTTCCTATTGGACGTTAGCAGTTCTTCGTGACTTACGAGCTACGCCCTGTTGGCAGTATAAAAACGAGCTTGTTTCGTCAAAACCACTGTAGCGAGTCAGGAGTTGGAATTGCGAGTGTTGAAAACGTTCAGGATAGAATGCCAGTGGGTGGAGTCAGGCTCTGACCAGGGGTTTAGTTGCACTTTTAACTATTTATTTATTTATTTTTTACCATTATAGAAGACTTCATTTCCCAGAATGCTCTAATTTACCTTAAAGTGTTCAAAACGAACATAAACAACATGTCAGTCTTTAATATTTTTCCTGTTTAGTTCCATTTTGTTTTGGTTTGCAATTTAGTATCAACTCAAGATACTGTGGCCATGCCAAACTCATGATTTGAAAGGGCATCAATTCTAAACTATTCTATAAACCTACCATCCAGGACTATCTGATTGTCTGGTTTCATTTCTCTCCAGGTAACCATTCAGCCATTGTCCTCTCCAAAAACTGCACAGGCGAGGTGAGAATAAAGAACGAGAGTGTTCGTGCGTCTCTGAACAATCAGATGTACAGTGAGTTATGCTCCGACCTCGGCTGTGGTACGGCCTTCCACCACTGGAGTACAGATTTGATGGAATCAAAATGCTGGGATTTCAGCTGCACTGGCAAGGAGACGGTGCTGTGGCAGTGTGGCTATAAGATGGTCAGATGTGACAAAGTCCTTTCTTTGGCCTGTCAAAGTAAGTCATACACATTAAAGTGGGCTATAAATACTGTAAATAATGAATGGATGCTGAAATGTACAGTATAGTTCCTCTTTTTAAGGTGCACTATGTAACTTTTTTTTTGTTCAAAATGTGCAACATTTAAACGAGTCAATCCATCATTAATCTTTTTTTTCCAAAACGTGTATTGTCTTACCCTGATTCACTATGGTAAGCTTGTTATATACGTTTTTATATTTTATTTCATTGCATACACACTTCACTCACCTGGTGTATCTGTAAATAGAGACAAGTTGCTGGGAGTGGCATATGTTAGTTGCCACAACGAGTAAAAAAGGATAACATGAAGGCACTAAATCTAGAACTTCTCAATCTCGAACTTGAATGCTAGAATGCGCCAGAGCTCGTAATAAAACCAGAATCAACATTGGATTTTCAGAGATGGTGACAACTGAGGGATTTGAAATGTTGTAAAAGTGAAATGCCATAGCACTCTAACAGAGGTCATTGTAAAGTAGTATGTATAGGATCATTTCATTATGGTTGTCGTAGCGCTGAGCTGGAATTTATTTTCAAGGAAGTACAGTGTCTATTAATGGGTAAAGCAGAGATTCTTTCCATCTAAACTGGTTGTATCTCTCAAGCCTAGTAGTGAATTTTTTTTTTTTTGAGCAGCAATATAACCATATTCATCCGTTAGAGTAGAAGCACATCCAAAACAATGTTCTTCCACAAAATGCATGCATTTTTTTTTTTTTTTAACTGCTGGTGGGCCACACGTTACATAGTGTTCCTTTTCAACATCCCATGAAATCAAAATTGGAGTTTTGTAGCTGTTTGGCCATCTATATGCTAATGTACTGTATTCCTAATTCAATTTTTACAGATATACACACGTGTTAAAACATTAAAAAGATTAGTCAAATGTATGGAATATACTTACTTGCACTGACAGAATTGACGTTTTTATTGCAGAGGGTATTGAGTTCGGCTCCACTGAGAAGTGTGGCGGGAAGCTTGTGGTCAATTATGGAGATCAATGGGAATATGTTTGTAAAGACAAATTTGCAGCTAATACTACAGAAGTTTGTAAAGTGCTTGACTGCATGAATGGACAACCTGTGGATGAAAGGGACATTGCCAAAGAAATAAAGGTGACCATTAAATGTCCAGAGAATTACCAGTACATTCATCAGTGTGTGCAGCGTTTCAATGATAAATGCAAACAAGGCCCTGTTGAAATCAAATGTGAAGGTAAATAAAAAAAGACTATCTTTTTAGTATTTGTTTTACCATTGCTTTCTTTCTTGTTAAGTAGCTTGAGTAAAGGTTAATACATATTCTGACCTGTGAAACTGTCATTAAAACTGCAGGTTATGGAGAGAAAGTTATATCTACGGGGAATTCTGGTCTGATAGTGGGTCTAGCGCTGACCATGCTGGGGTTGCTGATGATGCTTTTTATGTGGATGAATAGGAAACGCCTACTTTTAGTCTGTGAGTATCGCTTGCACCTTGCTGAAAGACATCATCTTGATCTGCTGACAAACATTACTGAAGTAACACGCTGAAGTTCCAGTGATATTCGAAGTGCCTTCATCTTGTTGACCTGTTGATGGCGGTGTTTCCCAGTCTTTGTCTCACTCCAGACTCGCATAAACATAAAATCATAACATTTACATAACAAAACATTAATCCATTTATTATCCCTGGCCTCCTAAAGCACAATTGTCTACCTGTTTCTCTTTTTGCAGTAAGAAATTGCAGAAATAAAAATGAAAAAGACATCAACATTGACAGGAATGAAATGAATAACATGGAGAAAGAGAACAGAGGTAAAGACATAGGATAATGCATTATGTAAAAAAAAAAGCATGGGCTAATACAAAACATTTGGAAATGATATCTAATGGAAACTTAGCCGTGTGTGTGTGTTTAAAGAAAATATATTACTGCTAGCCAAACCTGTTTCAGATTTGCCTCAAGGAAAGTCGTCATCTTTAGAATATGATGAATATGAGGATGCAGATCCTGTCAGCAAGACAGGTAAGATATTCAAATAGTTGTGTCTGTCTGCCTACACGTCCATTTTTCCATCCAAGTGTTCTGTAACTGTAAAATAACTGATGACATTTTTCATTATGTCAATGAATAATCAAGACAAGATTGAAAATATAATAATTAAATGATTTTATTTACACTGGTTTTCTTTTTTTTTTTAAAGGGATAGTTCACTTTGAAATTAATTTTTGGTATGTTTTAGCTTACCTCAAGGGCATCCAAGATATAGGTGTCTTTGTTTCCACAGTAGTTTCAATTTTGATATTTTTAGGTCAAACCGTTCGTGTCTATCAGTCATATAATGGAGGTCTATGGTCACCACCTCAAAGAGCATGCACAGAGAAGTCCAAATTGAAAATGATTTAATGCCATATAAATGTAAGTACACATTGATGGCCTAAGACACGAAACGAGTGGTTTGAGTGAGAAAACAAACAGTTTTTATATCGCTTTTAGCTCGTTACCACAGCCACAAAGCACCCGCGTCCTCAGATCACTGGACATGGCTGTGGTTACAAGAGGTAAAAACGATATAAATACTGTTCGTTTTCTCACACAAACCGCTCGTTTCGTGTCTTAGGCCATCAGTCATTAAATCATGTTTAATTTGGACTTCTCTGTGCATGCTCTTTGAGGTGGTGACCATAGACCTCCATTATATGACTGATAGACACGAACGGTTTGACCTAAAAATATCAAAATTGAAACTACTGCGGAAACAAAGACACCTACATCTTGGATGCCCTTGAGGTAAGCTAAAACATACCAAAAATTTATTTCAAAGTGAACTATCCCTTTAATGTTTCATAAACTAAAATGTTAATTTTGGTCAGCTGAAATGACGTCCCATATCAGGCTAAATAACTTAAAAAGTATGGATAATATAAATTAGACTGAAATGTATAGGAGATTTTTGGACTTTGTGAGAAAAAGAAAAAAATATATATAAAAAGTTGGAATATATGTATCTAAATATGTTTATATAAATAATTATATATACCGTAATTTACATTTAGCATTTGCATATTCAGCATTCATACAGTATCCTATATATACAAATGCTGTTTAATGATGCTGTTTAGGTTAAATTGATTTGGAATTACAAAATCATAAATATAGCTGCGAGCAGCGATGGCGGGCCCAAGCCGGTGGCACCGCAACCCCGGTTCCTTTAGTTACCTAAAGGCACCGGGGTGGCGGTGTCGCAGGCTTTGGCCCTTTCATGATTAAATGATTAAATGTTAAAACAGCTTGCCATACTCTATCTGTCGTTCGACTAGTCACAATTACATTACAGATATCTTAAATGATAACACAAACTATTCAAAATGTAATTAAGACTAGTCACTTTTGTCAAAATGTGGCGTGTTGATATCTACAATGTTAATTCCGGATAGGCAAACTTAGCTTTTAAATGTTAAAAGGGCTTGCCATATAGGGACGTACAGTAGGCTCAGAGAGAGGCTCACCATATTCAAACCAAAATATCTGACTTCCTCTTGATCCAAACTAATGACTATGAATTAGAAAGTTCTCTGGCTTGAGGAGTACAATGCCCCCCCCTCCCCCCCTCTCTCTCTCTCTCTCTCTCTCTCTCTCTTTCTCACACACACACACACTTCGACGCGCGCGCCTCTCTCAAGCCGGAGTGTGCGTGTGTGTGTGTGTGTGTGTGTGTGAACAGAGGAAACAGGAAACATAATCCGTTATTTTGTTCATAAAGGACAACATTCAGACTGCAAACTGTTTACCTATATTTGTGTACAATAAAATAACATCCTCTGTCACATACGTAATAAATATAGAAAAATAATGACACAAGAGTGCATTATAGCCCTATTTATGATTTTGAGTTTAAACTATCGCCCGAAGTGATTTTGAAAGAATGGTAAAGTTTATGCCACGGCAACAGTATCAAAGATATCAAAAATTCATTCACAGGTCTACATCTGCCGTGTATTTACATTATACAGATGAAGTTTGAAGCAAATCGGTTAAAAATAAGAGAGTGATTTCAAAGCATTTTGAAAGTGACACACTTCCTGCTGCCAGTTGGTGGCGCTATAAGTTTGACTCACAATAGTCACATCCATGTGATCGGTCTCTTACAGCGAAAACACTGCTGAAGTTTCATCAAGATCAGTTAATGTATGCAGAAGTTATAACACACATCCTGTTTCATGTTTCTCGCCATAATTTTGTTTCCTCGCCACGGCCAAACCGTTCGAGGTATCAAAAATCCCGTGGCACTTTTTCATCCTTAATGTCTTGACTTCACGTCGTTAGTGAGTTTCGTCGAATTTGGTTCAGTGCTCTGGGAGCAATAATTTAAATTCCATTGCATGTGTTTTAAACACAACCCTAAATAGCCGACTTCCTGTTGGGCTGGGGTAAAAAGTAAGAGTGTGAAGTATATATGAAACGATGAGATCTATATGTGTACCAAGTTTCATATTATTACATGCAAGTGTGTTTGATTTATGGACCAAATTTTCAGACCAAGTTTATTGACCAAGTTAATCTGATTAATAAACTAATTATATAAAACTATTGTCAATTCACTACAATTAAACTAGTTATATGCCTTTACTTATAAAAAATAAAAATAAAAACTTATTTAAAAAATACCAGGCTTGAGAAATGTATTTTCTTTATGCAGGTCATACACACAGCAGTGAAATGGTTAAGCCCCCTCCCCCTGCACACACACACACACACACACAGACAGCCAGCCAGCCAGCCAAAGACACAGAGACATGTAGGCTCAGAGTGGCCATATTCAAACAAAAATATCTGACTTTCTGTGGGTCCTAGCTAATAAGTGTCAATTAGAAAGTTGTCCGGCTCGAGGAGTACAATATACATACCAATTTTTGTAACTCTAGTTAAAACTAACAACCCCACTTTTGTCAAAAGGTGGCGCTACTGAGCCCTCACCACGCCCGTTTCTGAAACTTTGCACATGTCTACTGGCTAATAAATGTGATGTGTCTGTCGAGTTTCATGCAATTTGAAGCATGCTAAGGGTCTCAAAAGCATCCAAAAAGCATCCTAAAAGAAGGGTAAAGTTTGATGCGTCGCCACGGCAACAGTTTCAAAGATATCAAGAATCCATTCACAGATCTACATCTGCCGTATGTTTACATTATACAGATGAAGTTTGAAGCAAATCGGGTAAAAATAAAAGGGTGATATCAAAGCATTTTGAAAGTGACACACTTCCTGCTGCCAGTTGGTGGCGCTATAACTTTGACTCACAATAGTCACATCCATGTGATCGTCCTCTTACAGCGAACACACTGCTGAAGTTTCATCAAGATCAGTTAATGTATGCTGAAGTTATAACACAATTCCTGTTTCACGTTTCTCGCCATGATTTCGTTTCCTCGCCACGGACAAACCGTTCGAGATATAAAAAATCCCCTCGCAAACTTTCATCCTCAATGTCTTGACTTCACGCTGACCGAGTTTCGTCGAATTTGGATCAAAGCTCTAGGAGGAGTATATGACATTCCATTGCGAGCGTTTTACAAACAAACCTCAATAGCCGACTTCCTGTTGGGCTGGGATAAAAAGTAAGAGCGCGAGGTATAGATGAAACGATGAGATCAACATGTGTACCGAGTTTCATATTATTACATACAAGCGTGTTTGATTTATGGACCAAGTGTTCGGACCCCGTTCCAGGGGGCGCTGACGAGCCGCCCTACCACGCCCGGGTACCAGCTTCAGCCCGGCTCTGATGGCCGCGGGTTCTGACCCGTGTGCAAAGTTTCAAGAGTTTTCGAGCACGTTAAGGGCCCCAAAAGTGCCCAAAAGGTAGTAAAATAATAATTATTATAATAATAATAATAATAGTAAAGAAAAATAATCCCAAGGAAAACAATAGGGCCTTCGCCCTTTCAGGGCTTGGGCCCTAATTATCTTCACACAATAAATATATATACATTTTGTTTTGTTTGTGTAAGAGTAAATCATATTCGGTTCTCCAACAGGAGAGGAGGATGCAGATGATAAAAGCGAAGGCTCCTCTGGGACCGAATATGATGACATTGAGGGACAAAACCGTGACATCTCTCCTCACCAATCCCACGCTGATGACGACCTCCCTCTCCTTCCCAAGCGATCCGAAAACATTCTAGGTACAGCACTAAAATGCACACCTCGCAGTGTGTGTGTGTGTTTCGTTAGTACCATTGTGGTAATAGTGGTGTCATTTTTCCTTCATGTTCTCAGCAGATCAGGACACCTATGAAGTGGAGACAGAGAAACAGGAGGACTATGATGATGTCATGGCTTTCGAAAATGCAGGGATGGCAGACGCACTAGCACAAGTAGATGTAGCCGTTGATGCAGGCACAGATTCAGAAGCAGGTGCAGATGCTCTGGTGGTGACCACTGAGGTAGAAGTTCATGCTGAACAAGAGTAAGGATTCAGACACATGGTTACACACTTTATTTCTATAGTCCACTTCAGACACTCCATTAACTGGAAGTAAGTTTGCAACTACATCCATAGTTTGGGTGGAGAAACTCATTTTCTTTTCATTTTTGAAATTGGAATGAACACAAGCACACACACACACACACACACACATTGACAGGATTTAAGGAGTTTTTTTGGTTGTGATAAAGTGTTTTACTTTTAAGTAAAAAAGTAAATTTTACTTTTAAGATAATAATAAGAGATAAGATTGTATGTTTTTAGTATATTTCATAGCAGTGGAACATTGGGAAATAGGAAGATAATATAGGCTTAAATATGAATGCTGTGAAAAACCACAAAAGGTTTTGATGTATTTTGTAGTTATTTTGATCTTTTTTTTTTTTTCATTTGTTTTGAATGCGTTGAAGCTTGAGATTTCTGCAGAAATCCTTAAAATTAAAATTTGATATAGGCTATCCTGTTCATTTGTTTTTATAACAAAATTGTGCAAGAGCAATCCCTTTAAAATCATCAAGATCCGGTAACACAATGTTTGTATAAGAAATAGGCCATTTTATAGGCCAAGTTCACTTAAACGGATAGTTCACCCAAAAATGAAAATTTGGTCATCACTTGCTCACCTTCAAGTTATACAATTTATATATATATATACATACAGGATTGAGGGTGAGTAGATGATGACAGAATTAAAATAGATGAGCACAGATGACTTTTTGAGAAAAAAATTGCCAGATTACATTTTTAAATGCAAGGATTAGGTTTAAACTTGAATATCTAACAAATTTGATCGAACTGAATTGTAACACAGCTTATGACTGAACACAAATGAACTATTTAGTTTCCCACCATTTTCTGGATCATTAATAAGGAAAAATGTACCTTGTAACAATCTAAATTTAGTTATGGAAAAGTCTGTAACCAATTGTTTTCTTACATGCTAAAAAATGCTGGGTTGTTTTTAACCCAAATTTGGGTCAAATATGGACAAACTTAAACATTGGGTTAAAAATGTAATCTAAAAATGTAACCATATGGCTGGGTTTGTCCATATTTGACCCAAAATTGGGTTAAAACAACCCAGCATTTTTTTAGAGCGTAATGCTACATAATCAAGAAAATGTAAAAAAGCTTCTTTACCATTTTTGGGGAAAAATAAAGCATATTTCATTTGGGCTGACAACTATGAGCATGTATACAATTATAATTAAGTGACATTATTTTGACTAATATTTAATTTTTTTAAAATATACTACTTATTTTGAAAGGAATTATGATTTACGATTTTGCAATAAGATCCAAGTTTTCTGTTCTGTGTTTTTATTTTTTATCAAATATTGCACTGTTTTGGTCTTTTCGTTTTGACCTGCCTTTTTTATTTGCTTGCTTTGAAAATTGCTTTGATGGATTTGTCCATTTTATAGATTTATTTCACATTAAAGTAATTGATAGTTCTGACTCGTTTGCACATTCTTATGCATTCTCTTTAAACTGTATGTATGTCCAGTGAATCTCAAAAGAGCTAGCGGGTGAAAGGCTGTCAGTGGAGATGCAGTGCTCTGGTGCTGTGTGTTAAACTGTATCGTTCTATAACACCTATAGTTTGATTCACAGCACAAGAGTTTGCTCTCTGAGTTTCATCAGGAATTCTACTTCTGATAGACATGATCTGTGTATTTAATTGTAAAAATGTCTGATTACATTAGACGTGTGCTCACCAATGCCTGCGGTAACAGCTGCTGTACTATAACTAGTAGTACTAGTGTTAGTGTATTTTGGTGACGTCTTCCTGTGGCCGGTCAAGTTCACATGTCATCTGCTTTACCCAGAGGGGCTCATTTGGAAGTGCTTTGTGTAAACAGAACATGTTTCTTTTGAAGAGAAGTGACCGTTTGCCTTCAGGGGCCGGAATCTCTGAATAGAACATTCCGAAATTCAAATGAGGATTATCTGGGATTTGTTTAACATTCTCTACAGTTCCGTGAAATCTCAGCCTGTTTAAGAAGTTGAATCATGCCTGTGCCGATTTGTGCTGGACTAATGGGTGTGAAATAACGGGTGGACATTTTGTCTCGTTGTTTTGTCCTTGTATCATTTTTTTAAACAAACCTTTTAAAAACATTTTAGCAGCTTGTTTATCGAAGTAATTACACAAATCCGGCCACAAAATTTGCAATTCTACCTGAGTTTGCAGGCTGATTCTGAGAGTTTGGTTGTGGATGATGCAGCAGATCATTGCAATTTGACATAATCTTTTGGTTTGTAACCGCATTTTCACACTGCATTCTTTAACAAAGGGTTTGGGAAAGTTTATTTAAAGGGATAGATATTAATTTTTGATATGGTTTAGCTTACCTCAAGGGCATCCAAGATGCAGGTGTCTGTTTCCACAGTATTTTCAGTTTTGATATTCTTAGGTCAAACCGTTCGTGTCTATCAGTCATATAATGGAGGTCTATGGTCACCACTTCAAAGAGCATGCACAGAGAAGTCCAAATTAAACATGATTTAATGACTCGTAAATGGAAGTACACATTAATGGCCTGAGACACGAAACGAACAGTATTTATATTGTTTTTCACGTCCAAGTGATCTGAAGGAGGCCATTTATAAACCCTCTCCTGTGGCCTCGGGAAGTAGATCATTCGGGTACTTTTTGCCCACTCTTTTGATGAGTACTGTGAATTAAGACATTCTTATTACGTCACATACTGTTTTTAGCCTACTATATTGTAGGAAATGCTATTTCGGATGCTCTTACTTAAGCAATTAAAAAAATAATAATAATTGCAAATACGATTTCACTTAAGAAATGTGTTTCATTAAATTTGCTTATTATGGTTGAATTAGATATCAAAGGTCAGGAGCAAAGACATTGGGAAATAAAGCGAGATGAAATGCATAAAGTAATTTGTATAATTTAACATTTAATTATCTCATGTTTGTGTAATATTCTGAGTTGGCATTTCTCTGTTTTTATTCATTTTGAGAAAAACTGACTGTTTTTGTGCAAGTGAGATGAATGCTCACATTAAGAGCGCACATGGCGATTTCTCTCAACACGGCGACAGGAGAGCTGTCAGTCAATAAATATGAAAACAAAGTAACTTGAAGTCAGAAAGGCATATTTTGTTGTAAATTTCAAAAGTTACTTAGTTTGTTATACTTGGAAAAAAGGAAACTGATTACGAATCTCACGTTACTCGCAAAGCATTACCACCAACCCTGTCACGCTTTTAATAGGCCTTCTTTAAAATGATCATTCTAAAATGTTCTCAATATTCAGTAGATTATAAATAATATAATAAACCTAATAACGCTCATAAACGGCTTCCATGCGTAAAATCATCAGTGAGTGATGCTCAGAAATGTAATCAAGCTGTCATCTCATATGATGCTTTGCTCAATGTTTCCATACACACACTCAAGAGCAGAAATAACCTTCACAAACATGCCTGTGGATTGGTGGTATAAGCAGTTGTTGGCTGTGAGATTGTGATTTTCCATAACGGCAAAGATTTATTAACAGCGCTGCATGAGCCGATGGAAATAACCGTAACGCAGATCCATTGGTTCTTCAGCCGCCGTTTCATGGCATCTGGCCCTCAAAGCCTTATGGGATACTGGAGTGAGTGATGTCATGTGGAGGGGTCCTGGCTGATTTTTATGTTCCCACATTATGACAGCAAATAGTTTGGAATTATTCAGATCTTTTTTTTTTTTTTTTAAGTAATCGAGATTATAGTAAAAAAAAATTTAGTAAAAAAACAGTATTGTGAAGTATAATTGCAATTAAAAGTAATTAATTTTCTGTTTAAATATTTTTTAAAATTTAATTTATTCCTTTGATGTTAAAACTGAATTTGCAGCATCATTACTCCGGTCTTCAGCGTCACATGATTATTCAGAAATAATTGTGTTTTTGAGATTTGCTACTGTTCAAAAGTTTAGGGGTAAGCATAAAAAAATATATATATTTTTAAGAAATTAGTTTAATGCATTCATTTGATTTTTGTAATGTTACAAAATATTTATATTTCAAATAAATGTTCTTTTGAACTTTCTATTAATCAAATAATTCTGACAAAAATGTATGGTTTCCAGAACAAAAAAAACAACAACAACAACAGTACAACGTATTATTTATAATAATAAGAACCATTATTAATAGCACCAACTTCGCATATTTTAATGATAACAGTTCACCAATAGTTTAAATATAATGCAATGCACAAACCATTTTGAATGTAATGGCCTTTCATATCATATACTTTCTATTGCATTTATGGGATAATAAGATTTGTAAAATATAGTTGTGACTGGTTTAACTGCAGCCACTGCGGTGGATGATATTTTAGTGTCATCGTAAAACACATAAAAGTCAAGTTGTCGAGTCTGTCAACAAAGTACAGAAGCTCAAAGAGCATTTTTAACATGCGTTGCATGCTGGTTAGTTTAAAGCACTAACGCAGTCCACCTGTGCTCGTCTGTGTTGCACCTCTGAGTGGCATTTATTAGATATATCAGACAATTAGAGCCTCGTATTGGTGCAGTGCAGTGTGATAACTTCATTTCCATTTCAGCAGGTGTCAGAGTTCCAGGAACTGACACCGTATATCGGTCAACGTTGTTGCTCCAGTGGCCTCCAAAAAAGTATTCCGACATTTAAAATGTCTGAACCTGATCGCATGACTCACGTGACACTTTTATTTATCATTTTTCTTCAACTCCTAAATGTCTTGGGGATTTTTAGTGATGAATGATCTCCTCAAGTTCACACAGGAGTACTGTTATTTTAGTTTTATATATTTTTTTAATTAATATTATTTATTTTAAATTGTTTAGTTTTCATGTTAGTTACATTTTTAGTTATTTCATTATGTGCTTTTGTCATTTCATTTTTATTTTTTTATTTTGGTTATTGCTTGGCAACATTTATCGTTTATTTTACTCCTGGTTTTGCAGTTATTGTTAATAGATTGAGCAATAGAGGGTATTCATGGACGTCCCTTTCCCGCAAGAACACACTCCCTCAGCCGGACTGAGTGGCAAAAGAGCTGCTGCTGAATGACTGGATTTAATCGAGAAACTGTGAAAACATGAGTAAAACAAACGATTATCAGTTTAAATTAAAGGTTGGAATTACAACTTGGCAAAGATTCAGTGATCCAGACATGCAACCTGTAGGAAACGTGTTTTATGACATTTATATATGCCTGATTTCAATGCCGGGGCAAAATATGGTAAATATTTTGATGAGTTGTTAAAACATTATACAACAAAACAATATATAGGATATGATTTTACCCCAAATTTCAACATATTAACGGGTCACTAAAGCCCCAACATATGCGTTTCAGGACTAATTTTCTTCCAACTTTATTTCAGCTTTATTTGAATGAACAGAAATGCTTCAGTTAACGATAATAGTCCTGCACAGGAGTCCAAGCAGAGGAACCACAGGTGTAGTTCATTACATTAATTGACAACCAGTGTCCGTTAGCACAAAGTGACCAGCGAAACGGCTGTTATTGCCAGACGCTCTGTAAGAAGAATCTGGCTTGAAGTAACAACCGAAACAGATTATGAGTCATCGCTGAGGAGTCGAGCTTCAATGAAAGCTGTTAAACCCTTCACCACATGATGGGCTTTTGGCTGCTTTAGAGTATTTAGTAATGAAGGTCTTTGATTGGACCAGCGCATAGGGACTGCGGTAACATTATCCCGGTTAGTGTAACGCTCGAAATATGCTGCAAAGCAAAGGTTCAGAAGTGCTGTGTTCAAATCCCCAGCGTGACAACACCCCACCGGGACGGTTTCTCTAGAGCTGGGCCTAAAACAAACACCAGCCCAGAATCCATCAATACCACACCAGCTGCAACAGATGCCAGGAGGTCTCTGAATGCTGAACAGAGAAGGTTAGTGCTCTCTGTGTTTGTATGTACTGTAATAAATTACTGGGGTTACAAGCAAAGGCCATCAGTGACTTGGAAGGGGATTCAGAGTGCATTTTGCAACAGCAACAAAAAAAAGTTTTAAAGGGAGGTTGTGGAGGTGCTTGTTTGTCAAATCATATTTTAAGGGTAAATAAAAAAAATATTTTAATGATTTGTAATTACAACATTTTTTTCTGTTGTCAAATTAACTTGGATAATTTATGTAGTTCAGATAACATATTTTGAGTTTCTGATGATTAAATCAATCTCCTTCATTGTATTAACTATTATTAATTTTTCCATTTCAATGAACTTAAAATTTGAAGGCAACCTGGTTAAGTCAAACCAACAATATGTTTTTACAGCAAACTTTATTTTTAAACTGAATTGCTTTTAATGCTAATTAAACGTTTTCTTTCCTTCGTCAAGTAGAGCTCTTTGCTCAAGCATTATGAAAAGCCCATCAGATCTGTTTTTTTTTTTTTTTTAAGTAAATCAATAGTTATACGGAAGCTGTGAACCGCAAGGTGAGAAAAAAAAAGGAAACTTATCTCGTTATAACTGTCGTTTTAATTTTTTTTTCTCACCTTGCGGTTCAGGGCATCTGTAGGTTTGACATTTAAGGGCAGTTTTATATTCATTTTTAGTGCAAATTGACATAAAAATAGCCTACTGAAGTTAAATGTTTTAAAAGGAACAGTCATCTGATATTATGTTTCCTTAAAACAGGTAATGTTTGGCATAAAGCTTTGAAATTTTGTCACCACCATCTTTGACATAAGCAGCCATTATTGAATTTTATAATTAAGTACAAGTAAACTAAAAAGGTTTTATTATTAATGTTAGTTAATACACATCATTCTCTAACACTAGATTTATCCTTGGATAATACAGGCTTTAAAAGTGACATGGGTCTCATAAGCACACAGCAACCAAAACAAACAGGTTGATATGAAATCTATACACATTTTATACAAATTTATACTGTAATAGATATTTCAATAGACTTTGATAGAAACGAGTAAAATACAACAGTTGTTTAAAATCTACTGCTCGTAAAGTACATTAAATGTCTGGTTGTCTTTGTATTCTTCATTCACTGGACTCTCATTTAAGCTAGAAACAAAACTGATTGACAAAATAATACAATCTGGATCATTCCTGAAAGTGTCCGTAAATTTTGTGCGGAGGTAGAGGTTTGAATTGTGCGTGTGTGTTCATACCTGCATCAGAGATAAAAGGAGTGTAGCCGGTCCACTCATATAGAAATAAATTGGAAAATTGTAATGCTCAATATGGCAGCTGTTGATAAGAGTCAACCACATTATTGAGAGATGCCCTGTTTGTTTACTCATGTATGTGCATGGACCAGCCAGAAAAACCCTGTGCCCTTACCATTGGTATAAAAATAGTTTTTTTTTAACAATAATAAAGTTTTCAAGAACATTTTACTTCAATTTCACAAAATCGCATCTAAACATGTGCGAATCAGACCTTGTAGAAAAATGTTTTGTTAGAAAGGCTTTTCTAAGGCTTTTCTTTCTTTTTTCTAAATAAACACAGTATGCATTATCAGCTTGAATCCTCATATACATTTACTTTTATAAAGTCAATTAATTATTAATTGCTGTTAAAGCAGCCTAAATTGTATTTAGTCCGCAATAATTCAGTACTGTGGCAAATGAGTGTCTTTACTTATTTAAGGGATAGTTCACTTTGAAATTAATTTTGGCATGTTTTAGCTAACCTCAAGGGCATCCAAGATGTAGGTGTCTTTGTTTCCACAGTAGTTTCAATTTTGATATTTTTAGGTCAAACCGTTCATGTCTATCAGTCATAAAATGGAGGTCTATGGTCACCACCTCAAAGAGCATGCGCAGAGAAGTCCAAATTAAACAGGATTTAATGACTCGTAAATGTAAGTACACATTGATGTCCTAAGACACCAAACGAGCGGTTTGTGTGAGAAAACGAACAGTATTTATATTGTTTTTAGTAGTTTGTAACCACAGCCACAAAGCGCCCCCTGCGCTTTGGTTTACATGAGGTAAAAACAATATAAATGCTGTTCATTTTCTGACACAAACCGCTCGTTTCATGTCTTAGGCCATCAATGTGTACCTACATTTAGAAGTGATTAAATCATGTTTAATTTGGACTTCTCTGTGCATGCTCTTTGAGGTGGTGACCATAGACCTCCATTATATGACTGATAGACACGAACGGTTTGACCTAAAAATATCAAAATTGAAACTACTGTGGAAACAAAGACACCTATATCTTGGATGCCCTTGAGGTAAGCTAAAACATACCAAAAATTAATTTCAAAGTGAACTATCCCTTTAAGATGTAATTTGGAGAAGCAATATCTATATCAACACCTCTAATGATGTCAATTCAGCCCTCCAATCATCTGTCTGCATTGCAATTAGCACCACATTCTGATTGCTAATTTGTCATATAACACCATCACTGTTCATCACTGTGGCTGCTTCTGCAAGGGCTCGGTGTGGACGTGCTGACCTCCCCGTTTTCTCCCACCCATCCATTGGCATCCTTCGCTCGTACCCAGTCTTTACCCACATAACCTTTGACCTCTCCAATGGAGCACCTTTTAGCGGCATCCAGCGCTAACATCCTCCTGAACATCTGCATACACATGGGTGTGAACCTTTTCCACTGAGACGGCACGGGGGTCTTTGCCGGCGCTCGGCGCCAGTCTGCGAACTCCTCGTAGAAATCGTCGCTGTCGTTGCAGCGCTCCCAAGGGAAGAAGCCTGTGAGGATACAGAATAGAAGAACAGCAAAGGCCCAGGTGTCTAAAGTGGGCTCCACTCTGAGCGGAGGGGCTTTCACCTCCTTCTGACCTTCCTCTAAGACCATGGCGCACAGCTCTGGAGCCATGTACGGCAGCGTGCCTGATATGAAGCGGATGAAGGTTCCTTGTCTCTGGGTGAGGCCGAAGTCGGCCAGTTTGACCCGCCGGCAGTGTGTGTCCAGGAGCAGTATGTTCTCAGGCTTGATGTCCCGGTGGACCAGGCCACGCTGGTGGATGAACTCTAGAGCACAAGAGATCTGAACAGCACAGCGCTTCACTGCGCATTCTGGGATGCCCACCTGGAGTAGAATAGAAATATAGTACAGTTTGTCAATACACTTTGGTTAAAAGTGGGTTATATTGTACTCAAAAATTACAAAAAAACAAACAAACTAATATTTATTAACATAAAATAAATATGAAATATAAATGACATAAAATGACAAAAAAAAAATAATCAAGTAAATCTATATTTATATATATTCAGACACCATTTATAATTTTTTGATATTTTTTTTTACTAGGACACAGTATAGCGAAGAGTATAGACGAACAAGAGGCGAAACTCTGAAAGCTTTTTTGGTAACAGCCACTAAGTGGCGCTTCGGTTCGGTAGCGCGGTCGCCATTTTGGAATGAAAACCCCAACTGGAGTGACTGGACAACAGCACAGATAACAGTTTTTTGAGGTAGTTTTTTCTTGCATTAGTGAGAATTTCCATTTTATGCAACTTACCTTTACTACTATTATTAGATACCAACTCCACTAGGCCTGAAATATATTTTGTACTTTTTAATCCCCTGGATCATGCTACAAACATAATGAGTTTATAGAACGTGATGCATTGCTGTGTGTCCGTTATCCTATAACTTTAATTGCCACTTTGGACAATGGCTGTATTTTTTTGTTTACATAGTCTAGCTTTAACGGTCATTAATATAAGATAATACTGCAAAAAAAGTAGTCAAAAGTAGTAGCTTTATCTATTGCTGTTATGTATTTATTGTCCAACATTTAGGCTACATTTTAGTAGGCAGTAATTACATTTATTTCCTGAATTCATTTATTTCATTGATAACTTATTTTTGTATGTAACGTTATGTGTACCTCCTGGAAACGGTCTAACGTTATTTCTAACTTTATGAACTGATATCACTTATTCTTAGCCTACCTGTAATTAATTAAATCCTTGAACTTCCCTGTCTCAAGTTATGTGGGGGGGAAAAGCCTGGTTAAGTAGCAACTTCTTTTTAACTGAACTATAACGTTAACTGTTGTGAGTTAAAATAATCACCTAATTATTTCAACCTAAAAATGACATCTACATATATGTGTAATATATGACTGCCGAGCCGCTGCCGAGTCGCTTTCACCCCAAAATGGCGGATGGATGCGTAGGGCTTCTGCTGGGCGCTGATGTTGCAATGGAACGTTCTATTGGCTTCCACTTCTTATCAATATACGTTCTTTGACTATAGTTTATTTATGTAAGTTAGTATAGCTAGGTGTCTGAATATAGTACATTTTGACATACATGCATATATATATATATATATATATATATATATATATATATATATGTGTGTGTGTATAATGTATATAAAAAAACATTTTGCTAACTTTGCTTATGTGCAGGTACAAAATTTTGTCAAGACAACATCATTGCATTATAATGAATATAGGGTTTTGAGTTTAGGAGCCCCTGCTGTGTTATTGCCTCTTTAAATCTTTCCAATCCTTCAGTGCGTCTGGGTTAAGGTTTCACTGGATATGTTGAAGTAACAGAGACTCATGTTGTGACAGAGAAAAACAGCTGCTCTGCTCTTTTACTCGCACATTACACCCTCCACGATTTCCTAAGACATGTGAACATTACCGAAATATGTCAAGCGTAGCTCCTTCTCGTTATTCAGTACGAAAAGCATGTGAACATGTTTAGCGTGCGGTCTGGATTCCAGATCCTTAAAGTCACTCCAGGCCTGCACTGGCATGTTAAGGGTCTGGAGCTTTATTAGTCACATACTGGGCAAGTGTTTACTTCAGCTATGGCACCGTGGACATAATAAAATAAACCTAAAATATACTTTTCTCACTAGTTCCTTTCATTTGTGTTCTGAGAACGTCCAACGGTAAATGATCCGATCAATGTCATTTCCACCATCTCAAATAATGGAATTACTCTGTGGTAGATGTTACGGTAGAGAAAATGACATTTTAAAAAAAAAATGTTTTTTTAGTAAATTGACTCCATTGCTTATTCCACTGGTAATATTTTCTTAAAGTATCTTTAAGTTATGAAAGCCCTCAGAGGCAGTTTCTGAGACAAAAAAATCTGTACATCACCCATATCTCTAGTCCACAATGCATTTAATCAGCATCTGTTAGACATCATTCTATAAGCATGCACACATAAAATATACCTAATCTGGAAACACATAGTGTCTGTGACGATACAATTGTAACCTTCTCAAGTGTCGGACATTGATTTGGAAGCTATCTGGCAATGACTGACATAGAGCATGTCAGTATGTCTGGCTATATATAGATACGCAAAAAGTACAAAAATATTATTTATTTCTGTATATTTATATATATATATATATATGGTGTGTGTGAAAGTGTTTTTATAACCTCCAAAACAAGAAAATATGATCACACCAGATTAAGACTTATGTGGGCTTCAGTATTAAATATACACAAATAAATGCATATTTTTGTACTTTTTGCATGATTTGACATAATTACAGATTTATTGAAAATAATGCACAATTTAATATTGAAATGAGATATTGATCTTGATTTTACTGTAATATTTACACTAATTGTGGCATCATTTCCACCATGATCAAAAAGGACATATTTTTTTTGATTTAATGTATTTAATTTAATTAATGAAACGTTTAATAATTATTATTGTATGATGAGTTGTTAAAGTTAAAGACTGAATGTCTGGGACAAAGAACAAATTTTTATATAAAATGCAATAGGAAAGTAGTAAAAATGATGGCGGCATGGTAAAAAGTTTCCAAATCGTTTTTAATGTTGGTGAGTTTTAAAGTGCCCGTGGTTGAAGAAAGACCCGTGCGTCTGTGAATTGGCAGTGATGGCATTTCTAGTGCCTGTGAATAAAGGGAAAGATCTGCCGATGTGAGCACCCACCCGTGGCTGGATGATGGCGAACAGGTCCCGTCCCGTGACGAGCTCCTGGGCGAATCCGTAGTGCTTGTTGGACTGGAAGGCGATTCCAAACAAGCCCACGATGCAGGGGTGGCAAGACAGATGCAAGGAGATGCAGTATTCTCTCAGGAAGCCCTGCAGTTTGGTCGAGGCTTTGGGAAGCACTTTGAGAGCCATTGGAGTCCCTGTGACAGTGAAAAATACACAAGATCAGAGGACTTTTGGCCTTCATGGATGGTACTCTTTGAGACATAAAAAGATGACGTATAGTCTTCAGTTTGTAGTGGAAAGTATTTTCGCAGCCGTTATGATGTCTTGGCATTAAGATCTGTGGAAGTGTCAACGAGGAGATAGTGTTTCATTTAAATAGCATTAAATCATTCCTGCACTGCTCAGAGTGTTCTCTATAACAGAAGTGTGCATCTAGTAACTCTATCTATCTAAATTTTAATATATATACTGTAATACAGATCATGGCATGGTGCTGAATGATTCCCATGTTCATGTACACTCCAGGGCAATAAAGAATAGCCAAGCCCAAAATGGTTAAATACTTTGTTTTCTGGGCGTATTTCACTTTTAAAAAAACTTTTGCTGATAATTTACTCACCCCCATGTCATCCAAGATGTCCATGTCTTTCTCTCTTCAGTCTAAAAGAAAGGTTTTTGATGAAAACATTCCAGGATTTTCTCCATATAATGGACTTCATTGGGAACCAAACAGTTCAAGGTCCAAAAGACAGTTTCATTGCCGCTTCAAAGGGCTTTAAAAAGGGGCTTTAAGGGCCTTTAAAGGGCTTTAAGTCTTTTCGACTGAAGAAAGAAAGACATGGACATCTTGGATGACATGGGGGTGAGCTAATTATCAGCAAAAGTTTTTTTTTTTAAAAGTGTGCTTTTTAACACACAGTGCGTGACTTAATACATAAATAAAGGCTCAATAGCGTACCTTTACAGCGGTGAGTGACCAGCAGCACATGGCCATACTTGCCACGGCCAATTTCTTTAATGATGTTGAAATGTTCTTTAATCTCGAGCTGACATAAACTCTGAGATGTCAACTTCATCAGCTCATCTATCAGACTGCTGCCCTCCTCCACTGAGCCCAGTTCAATCATTGCACTGCCTGTCCCGGGGAAAAAAAAGACAACCAAAGAATATTTAGTGCAAACGTTAACAACATAATGCCTTTCAATAGAAACTGTGTCCACCTGTGCATTTGTCTGTGGGCTATGATTATTATTCAAAATATATTGTTAATATTATTATGTACAACATATATATATATATATATATATATATATATATATATATATATATTTAAAATAAAAAGATTCAAAATCACAAAAAATTGTGTCTTTACTAACAGTAAACTATTTTCATAAAACTGTAAATTGCATCACAAAAAGGACCCCTGACTGTATTTCAGTAAACCACTTAAAGGAGTAGTTCACTTTTCAAAAAAAACTTTTGCTGATAATTTACTCACCCCCATGTCATTCTTCAGTCGAAAAGAAATTAAGGTTTTTGATGAAAACATTCCAGCATTTTTCTCCATATAATGGACTTCAATGGGAACCAAACGGTTCAAGGTCCAAAAGACGCTTTCAGTGCAAAATGCAAACTGTTCAAAGTGTTTTAAACGATTCCAGACGATGAATAAGGGTCTTATCAAGTGAAACAATTGCTCATTAAAAAAAAAAAAAAAAAGTTTAAGTTTTATAAGCTCAAATGCTCGCCTTGCTCTGTTCTGTGATGAGCGTTTGTGACTCTCCTGTTCGAACTCGTTTATCAAAATGAACGAATCATTTCCAAGTCAATTCGTTCGTTTCGTTCATTGAATGAACCAAATGACTCGGAACTTAAGAATGACATGGACATGACATGGGGGTGAGTGAGTAAATTATCAGCAAGACTTTTTTCAAAAGTGAACTACTCCTTTAATAAATATAAAGTTTAAATTTTTCCTTTACATCATCTTGGAGAAAATTATTTTTCACCAAACAGCGATTCTAAATAAATAACTAAATAAATAAGAATATAAACGTTCATCAAAAGCTGATTCTTAGCTTTTGGAACTCTTGTTTTGATTTTGCAATAGCGGAGTGTTTCTGTTAGTCCTCATCACTCAATCAGCACATTCCACACAACTCTCACTACATACATTCCTGCTCTTGTTAAGCTCCTCTAAAACTCTACAAGACACGTGCGCAAGACCTGCCGCATCAGGAGTATAAACACAGAATGTAATGTGGTTATGTGTGGTATGTGCGATCATCGTTTATGAGCTCTTCCTTCCGTTTAAACTCTAGGTTGTTGTAAATGACACTGCATGCTATTACAATGAACAGGGAAAAAACAAAATAAACACAATTCTATGTATAATAACATAATAAAAATATTTATAAATGTGCATGTAATTATTACTTATTTTTTATTTTATTTCAAAACAGTAACTCATACCAGGTAATTATTACTTTACATGTGAATTACATTGTGTAATCTTTGTTGTTGTTGCAAAAATCCTTATAGAATTCATTCAGCTTTTCCAAATCAACCCTACACTGAAAAAATCGGAACCGTGAAACTTGAAACATCTAAATCAACCGGTTTTATTCAAGTCAGATATATTATTTAACATCACTGAATCCATGTGAATACCCACAAACTAATTTGAATGCATTAAATCAGGAAGAAAAAGTTATTGCATGTCACCACTTTTACGGTGTATTTGATCCAATGTATTTCATTTTTTACTGTATTTAATCCAACCAAATGGAGTTTTCCATCAATATCATCATAGCAGTCTTCAACTGCATTGGCAATTTTAAGAAACATTTAAACCCAAAATTATATACATATCACTGCATTGCAAATATTTGTAAATTCAGACTAGCACAATAACATACGTCTATATGCAATGCATGCACAATAATGCACTGGATTTAACTTAAGACGAATCTGCCTTTGTTAGCTGTGTAGTAATGTCTTCTCTCTCTGTCTCTCTCTCTCTCTCTCTGCCCTTCTCTCACCTTTCTGCAGCTGTGCAAAGGATCAGGGCGCCCAGACGCAGCAATAGCAGTGCTGCAGCCGAAGTGACTGAGGATTCCTGTTCTAACAAGGGCTTTGAGCTCCTGCAATGCTTTATATGGAAGAAGCACCCACTCTGGGAAGAGTTACACTTCTCTGGTGCTGACTCCACCCATGTTCACTGACATATATCAGACACATAAGGCTGAGATGTCGTATCATATGCCATTATAATTTATGTCCTCAGAATGCATATTCAGAGGCACGCACAAAAACCTAAGTTGGCCTGCTATATAGTTTCTACAAAAACACTGACTGTCTTTTGCATTCTCTCACAACATCATCAGATTGTATTTTTTTATTTCCATTCTTCAGTTCTTTTATCAAAGAGATTTTATAAGAACAACATGACAAAAAAAGGTCTTGTTTAGCAAAAGGATTTCAATAGACAGAAATACTTGTAAATAAAATATATAGGCCTATTCATAAAAAGGATTTTAATCAAATTCCTCATAACAGGTTCTCTATAAAATAATTTGAATCTTATTAATTTGACTAATTATTTTCTATAATCATCAGTATATTTAAGTTATATTCAATAATTTATACTTTAATAAAATAAATGTAATTTCAGATGACTTATCTTAAGAAATTTAGGGATTTTTAAAACAATTTATTTAAGGGCTTGCTGCTTGAAGACGTCAATTTTTTTTTCGGTAATACTTTATTCTAAGCCAAGGTGATGTAGATATACATTACTTCATGTATAATAACAGTATGACATAAAATTATGCATAATTACAAGTAACTAAACCTAACCCTAACCGTAACTCTCTCATAAGTGCATGTAGTTAATTAATATTACTCAGTTCTTATTTGAGGAAGTACAATTTAACTACGTTACCTTAAAATAATACCTTTTTCACTTTTTTTGTTTTAAAGTGATCCTTAAAACTTTGTAGCATACCATTATCATTACTCTATCATATATATATATATATATATATATATATATATATGAAGATTTCAGATGCAAAAGCCTCTAAGTGCCATTTGAAATTTTCTTCTAAAATTATCATTTTTATCAAGCTTGTATATTTAAGTTCAATAATTTCACTTAAATGGCAATGAAGATTACCTATTAATTGTCATTTAAGTGAAATTACTTTACTTAAATATACAAGCTTGATAAAAATGGTCATTTTAGAAGAAAATTTCAAATGGCATTTAGAGGTTTTTGCATCTGAACTCTTCATATATATATATATATATATATATATATATATGAAGAGTTCAGATGCAAAAGCCTCTAAATGCCATTTGAAATTTTCTTCTAGAATGATCATTTTTATCAAGCTTGTATATTTAAGTTCAGTGATTTCACTTAAATGGCAATGATAATTACCTATTAATTGTTATTTAAGTGAAATTACTGAACTTAAATATACAAGTTTGATAAAAAAAATCATCATTAAAGAAGAAAATTTCAAATGGCATTTAGAGGCTTTTGCATCTGAACTCTTCATATATATATATATATATATATATATATATATATATATTCCCCTTTCCTCCTTTATATTTTCTTCTTTTATATTTTATTTAATTACAGAAACTTAGAGGTTCTTCTTCATTTTATGAATTAAAGTGGCTACAAAATATCAAAGTCCCTCTTTTGTATTTTTTTAGTCCAGAAACCCTTGTTATTAGCGACACCGGTGGCCGTTAACTGAACTGCAGCCAGCAACTAGTAGCTGCTCGAGCTCGCTCTCGTGGCTCGTGCACATAACGTATATGCCTACCATAGATGCCGACCCTGAGGCAAGGCCCCAATACTTATTTACCACAATGTTCTTTTACGTTCATCGCTTTTAGAGGTAAAAAATAAGTTGGAAATACCTTTGCAGTGATATACTTTTAATTAAAATCCCCAACGCCGTCCATGAGAGAGATTAACGTTATGCCATTATGTGCTGCGCGCTTTCCTCTCAAGAACAAAATAAACAAACAACGAAAAAGGAGAGAGCAGCAGTTAAGAAAGCATCTGATCAGGTCTGCAATTCAACGGCATCATCATGTCGACAGATGAGGTAACGTTAACGTTAATTCAAAATTACTATTATGAAAATTTGAGTAGCCTATATAATGACAATGTATTATATAGATCTTACTATGTGAGACTATAGTTTGAATTATTCAATTTTCTTTCCATGACACATTGACATTATACTTTACAAAATGGTTCTTTCTTTCCTGGCAAAAACGTCCTTCACATAAAAAACTGTCTACAGGCTTTCAAAGACAAACTACAAAGTGGGGAAAAGTTTTATTTTTTGAAGTTTTGTTCACACATTCGCAATAAAAATCCATTAATAAATGAGAATTTTCTTAAAAACAGCTCGTAAACACTTTATTTGACTGTGGAGTACGGATGAATATGACGTACGAGGTGCTTTCAATAACAATCAGATATGTGCCAAGTGCCCTTCACCTTTAGAACATTTTGTACATTACAAGAATTTTCTTCTTATCAAGAACCATATTTTGCTGCAGGTTACAAACTGCTCAGAGACTTCAAAATGCAGTTTTACTGGGACAATTCAGAATGGAATATAAAAACAAAAATTATAACCATTTATACATGAAAGTAGCCCATATTATGCAATCATTTAAGACATTTACTTGTCAGAACCTTTTTAGCATAAGTTAAAGTGTTCTTTAATATTGAGTCAAGAACACAAGGGATCTATTTAGAACCCCTTTGATCATTTCCCCCCTCTTTTTTTCTTCTTTTTAAAATTATGTCATGGTGGTTGAGATCTCTAGACACTGGGATAGCATTAGGGGCACCAGAGTGTTTTTTCCTGGGAGGCCATCAGGGATGGAATTACAGTTCAGTGGACAGACAGTCAGCCAAACCCTGCTGCTGCATATTTCATATTATCCAAAATATGCACCACGCGCAACATGCTACTTGTCTTTAGTGACCTAGAATGTGCTTAACAAATTAAGAAGAAAAACAAAAGCGGGGCACGAAACTACTATAATGGTTTCAGCAAGATAATCGTACTTCATCACCACAGGAACGCTCATTTGGACTGACTGGCTTTGACAGTGATCTCACTTTAGAATGATTTTCTTTCCTACCGGTGTGAATAACTTGAGTGGATCATGGGTTTCTTACCACCTGCTGTCACAGAATAGATTCATTTGAACACTATAATCATATTACATATCAAGTTCTAGACTGTACGCCACTATGTTTTATGTGACTCATTTGGCATTTGCACTCTCATTTATATTGTAAATTACACCAGCATAGTGGAGAATAATTCTTCTTTTGAAGATCATCAAATGGAGTTCATTTAAAGAAGCACAGATGCTTTGTATTACACTTAAAATAATGTTCTGGGCCATATGCAAGTTATGATCCTTCAACAGCATTTGTGGCATTATGTTGATTAAATATTTTTTTGACTTGTCCCTTATTTTCAGAAAAAAAAAGAATGCAGCACTTGAATATAAGTAAATGGGCAATATCATTTTCAAGTTAAAATTAATTATTTAGTTAATTTATAAAACCTTCCATTAATTATTTTGGCAAAAATGTTATCTTTAACTTCACAAAAAAGATCATTAAGCAAGTTTTTGCAAAATCATGTTAACAACACATATTGTTAAGTGAGTATTTTAACATTTTTATGGATTGGCCCCCTAGTTAGGAAATGTGAAAATTTATTTTTTGTATCACTAAATGTTGTTGATTGTGCTTAACTTCTACTGAACTTATTCTAGTTACACATAAATAACCTATGTAAGTAGCCTAACTAGTGACTTTATTTTATAATCTCTAGAAGTGCTTGAAACAGACAGGAAAACACAAATGCACAACTGATATCATGTTTAATCTTAAAACCAGTGAAAGTGTATCTTTTTTTCAATGTGTGACCAGTTGTGTGTGGCCGGCCTGGGGTCTTTGTAGGGCAGTGAGTAGGTTAGGACTAGAAAAGCAAAAGGTTTATTTTAGAGGAGATGTGTTTTGAGCCAGAAACGATGTAGGAGGTGCAGACAGGTTCGTAAGATATCGTTTCAGATCTACATGCCAACCACTCTGCTGTGTGTGTGTGTGTGTGTGTCTGTCCTCTCCTCTGATGAATTAGGGGGCATGTAGGTCTCTGTGGAGCACACTTTTAGAAGCGGTGGATTCAATAGGTGCTATTCTTACAGGCTAATTACTCTCCCTGGCAAACGTTCTTTGATACAGAGCTTAGACTGGATTTTGAGTTGGACTGTAGAGTATGGTGTAGACGGATGAATATGACTCTAATGAACGAGGTGCTTTCAATACCATTCAGATATGTGCCAAGTGGCCTTCACCTTTCGAACATTCACATTGTACATTACAAGAATTTTCTTCTTATTAAGAACCATATTTTGCTGTATAGGTGTTACAAACTGCTCAGAGACTTCAAAATGCAGTTTTACTGGGACAATTCATAATGGGAATCAATAAAGGTCAAACTCATGGGCAAACCATACAAGTATAGAAATAAAACTCAAAGGAAATGCCATTAAAGACTCTGCATAGAACGAGTGTAAATACTTAGCCTATATAGGCAGAGTTAACAAGGGTAATGAGAAACAGCTGCAAGTAATCAAGCATAATGAGTTTGGGAAATGGGTCATGGAAAATGCAGTCCCTGATGAGATAACAAAGACAGGAAGAGAGCCCTCTTGTGGCTATCATAGGCACTCCGGCTGGAAATTAATAGTCATTATTTTAGCTGCTACAAACGCACACACACACACATATATAGCAAGGACACATTCAATGCTCAAAAGTGACAAATAGTGATATTTATAAGGTTACAGAAGATTTCTATTTCAAATAAATGCTGTTTTGAGTACAAGAAACGTACTCAAAATAAGCATATTAGAATGATTTCTGATGGAACGTGTCAAAAATAGAAAATATTTATTTGAAAATTGTAAGAATTTTTGGTGGTATTTGTATATTCTTAGAAAAAAGGGTTCATTGGGGTTCTATATATGAAGCCTAGGGTTCTTTAGTCAACTCCAAAGAACCTTTTATGCTAAAAAAAGGTTCTATAATGACAAGAAAGAACCCTTTTGCCATAAAGGTTCTTTGTAAGATATATTCACTCATATATTACATTATTCTGCAACATTTTGTAGTTGTAATTAAATTTTGGTTTATTAAACAGTTGTAGTAACTGAATATCACATTTTAATCATGCTGATTTTTGGAGGACAAAACTGAAATGGCACTCTTCGTGTGATTTTGATAAACTGCATAAAATCTTGATTTTGTGATCATTCACATGCATTCATAAATACATTTTAGGGTCTTGATGTTTGTCAATAATATGGACAAAACAAATGAATGAACCCAAAAGGGTTCTGGATAGAACCGTTTAAGGGTTCCAAATACGTAGCG